CCAGGCAATCTGCAAACAAAATATTAAGTAGTAACATATAAATGATCAAGATAAATTATCAACATTTAAACATGAATTCAATCTAAGCCAGGTTGTGTAAGGCCTACACTACTCACGGTCCAGATTTCGTCGTCCTGCTCTTGGGCCGTCTGGGGATCCTTTAAAGCCCTCTCTGCTCGCTCCGTGGTATTGTGATACATGATCTCCTGCAGAGATTTGAGTGCGGCCAGAGAGACCTCCCCATTCTTGCTCAAGGCCGCATTCTGGATGAACTCTAGGATCAGGGACCAGGCTCGCTCAAAGTCACCGAGCATTTGGAGGAGCTCCCGCTTTGTGTTGAACACTCTGCAGACTCCCGATAGGGTTAGAACCTGCGTTTCAGCCCACTGCTTTTGGGCGGTGTTGCGCGAGTGATGGATGAGAATGTTGCCACTGGCGTCCACCTTCTCGTTGCTGGCCGAGCTGCTCAGGGCGCGCACGTTGTCCAGCAGCGGGAAGAGAACTTGCCAGACCAGTGCCTGCCACGTGGGCGGATTAAGCAGGCTACCGTGGGCGGAGATGGTGGAGAAGAGCGTCTGGCCGGCCGATTTACGCACCGCCGGACGCAGATCCACACACAGCTCGCCCAGCTTGGCGTACAAGCACATCCACAACTTATCGAACTGCGGCATCTTCACTGTGCCCGGAAAGTCGGGCAAAATGGACACATCTTGCAGCTGAGTAGACATAAGCTTATCCTGGTTTTGATTAAAGAAATCTGAAATATTCCACTGCAACGAAAGTACAACATTTAAGTTACATTATAAAATCTAAATAATAATTTATGCTAAGAAAGCTTTTTTAGTTCCATGACATTCTTACCATTAGACCAATGGCCGTTAGGGAAATATTAAGTTCCTGGGTCTGGGAACCAAATTTAGCTGCCGTGCTGATGCACAGTGGCAGGCATCGCCAGGGCATCACGGTCAGAAAATCGGTGATAACCAACTGCAGGCATTGGAATGCTGTGCGAATTAACGGCTCGCCATGGTGTTCGTTTACTGCGCCAATGATCTCAATGATGGCTGGCCAGCCAAAGGAGAGAATCTCCCCGGCCGTGTTTAGTATTTGAAGGACGCAATCCAGCTGCCGTTGACGTACATCTGCGTGCAGGACCGTGGACAGCTCAGAGAGCGGACTCAGCAGCATGGTTTGTAGTTCCTAAGAGAAAGACAACATTAGTTTCGGGAACCGAATACAACTTAAAATATCCTGATATTTGATATATGTATGTATTGTCCTGGTAACTAAACTTACCATGTTCTCCTTGAGTGGTGTTTTGTGCTTGAACTGAAGTGCGGACTTAACGAGATAGGTAATGGCCTCCACGCCCCATTCTCGCATCCGGATGTGTCGATGCTGGCACACCTCTAGCAGGTGATTGGTTAGCGGTCGCCACAACACCTTGATGCGAGGCATGTTCACAAGGCCAGTCTCCAGCAGTTTGGCTACCGCAAAGAGGGATGGCTCCCGATTCGCGTAGGCCAGCTCCATGGCCTCGTGCGATAGCTTGCACAGTGCGTCAATCAAATGATGCAGCGCCACATCGTCCAGATACTGACTGGACTCAAAAAGCTGGCTAAGCATTTGTGACAGAACCGGAAGATCAGCCATCACGGCCGTTTGAATTCCCACATTGGCCTCCACCGCTGGCTTTGGCATGGCCTGAAGACTGCCTCCGGTAGAGGGTTTTAAGCCCAGAATCCAAACTAGATGCTGCAGCGTTTGCAGCACCATGTGCCACGAGGTGCCCAATATTCCACCGTTGTTGTGCGCCAGGAAGAGGATCGCCCGCATGCATTGCAGATTCTTGTTAGTCAGCATCACCGGCGCTTGCATCACACTGTGAGGAAGCGAGGCGGATGGCAGGGGCGTGCCCACGGCCACTATCTGGGGTCGGAAGTCCCCCGCATCGCCACTACAGTTGTTGATGAATTGGCTACTCAAATCCTGACTGCCACTACGGGTGTGACCTGTTATACAAAAATAGTTAAATTAGTTATTATTTTGTCAATTAAGTACTAAAAGGAAACACTCACATCTTAATTCACCATCCGGCTGCGTGGTGTTGGCAAATATGGACATGGCGTAGTGTGGTGGAAAAGATTCACGACACATGGCCATGATGAAGGCATCTCGCGGCTGTAGCTGCTCTAGCATTCCGCATAGAGCTGCATAATTTTGCATGGCCTTGAGGATGTTCTCCGTGGTGGCCTCGTCGATGGATGTCTCCACCAATGGAATAAAAGCGCTGAGAAGGCCAGACCAGCTGGAGTTCACCAACTGCAGGCACAGAGGCTTGTGCTCCTCCTCCGTTATCACGGCCGTATTGTGACTGGGATGAAGCTCTGGGGTGCGCTGAATGACGCCTCCAATCGAACGGGTCATATCGAGAAGAATGGCATGACCCACTGAGATGCCATAGCTGTCAGGTATATTGGGAGCATCCAGCTTATCCAGCATTTCCAAGCTGTTGGCAAAATAACATTGAAATTCAGATGGTTTTACCAATAAGTTTTTACACTTACTAAACTGCCTTGGAGACGCCAGGAGCATAGGTGGCGACCAGCGGGAGATAGGCTCCGCGGAACATGAAGCCACATTGATGGTTTCCCGACAAGGCTGTCAACGAATTGGCCATTCCGTTCTGCTGACCATTTAACATTGCCGAAGCATTGATCAGTGAATATCGCACATAGCTGCCCATGGCCGCAATCATATCGTGCACAATGTTGGTGGCATGGTTCTTTAAATCGTATGACTTGCAGAAGAAGGCAATCAGCGAAGAGCGCGTGACCAGCTTGTGGATGACCTCCAAGGCCAGTGCTCGCTGCCAGGCCGGCTTATCCGGATCCAAGAACTTTATAATCAGTGACAGGAAGATCTCGCACTCTGTAACCAATATGGTGTGGTATTTCTGTATAAGTATTGCCACCAGGCGCAGCAATCGCATGCTGATGGGGAAATACGGTTTTTCGGCCGGCACAGGAGCGTTGCCATTGCTCGGAGCCGGAAGCTGGCGATGCTTGACGTTCGGCGAGAAGAGCTTTATGACTAAGGCACAGACCCGCTCCTTAAGCAGCAATCGGAAGTCGTTGCTCTGATGGAAAAGAGGATTTATCTAATTAGTATTTTAAGCATATTATTTTAAAAAGTACTTCGATTTTAACTATCACAGATTAACTTATATACAGTATATTGGTAGTGATGTTTATCCTAACTATCACAGATTAACTAAATATAGGTTTTAGTTTTTATGTTTCCTAACCAGTTTTATAAATAGCCTAATAGGAAAATTTGATTAATGTCCATAGTTTCTAATATTTAATCATAAAATTTTAATTTGGGTATACAATGAACATTATTCCATTTTAAAACCTTCATGAGCAAACACGATAAATCCAAACTGTTTTCTTAACAATTAAATTCATGTTGATAGACTACTTATGTTGTTATCGTTAAGTGCTCAGTAAAAGCTAACAATCGAAAGTAAATAAACGTGAAAATCAATACGATCTGAATTTATGTTTACCTCATGAAACACAGCACTGAAATTGGTCAGCACTGCCTCAAGCAGTTCGAGGCCGAAGGTGCGCGTCATTTCTGTCATGCCTACCAGCCAATAAGGCTGCTCCGCGTTCACCAGCTGTACGAGGTCCTGGAATAGCAGGAACGCGTCCGAGGCAAAGGTCTGTACATCCTGACCGCCACCTTCAGCCTCTGCTGGCGAACCACTGGGCTGCTGGAGACTTGACACCGAATCCTTTTCCAGGTAGACGCGTTCAAATACCAGCGACACCAGCTGCCGGATGGTGGCTCCGGCTGTATTCACAATCGTCGGGTTCTTGGTGTAGTGCAGGCGGAAGCACAGAACCAGGGCTTTTGCCAAGGTGTCACCATGCACCACCGTGTTGGTGGTCAGCAGTAGGGTCACCGTTTGCAGCACCTTCACCTCCTCAATATTGTTCTCCATGAGGGTCCACAATGCGTTGGTGATGTAGAGGGCACCCTTTTGGTCCACCACCTGCTGGGTAATGAGCCGCTGCATCATGCCCAGGCAGAACTACGGATGAGATAGAAAAGCAATTAGATAGAGCTATTTAATTAATAAGATTCCGGCTCACCTTGATGATCTTCAGGTCCTTGGTCTCGCATCCCTGTACCAGGGGATAGAGTATCTGGTTGACGGTGTAGTACACCGAGTTTTGCTGGCTGCTGCCGGCGGTGCAGAGCTTGGAAATGGCCTCCTCGCATGCCTGATTGGGAATTGGAAATTGGAAACGTTGGCGAATTAATGGGCATTGTGGAAGTGTCATAAAATCAATTTCATTTGCGCTGGACTATCAATTTCATAATTGCGTAGAACAAGCACAGGTGGAACCAGAGCAAACCACCCCCCGCCCACCGACCTTCCACCCACCACCACCCAGGTGGGTGGGTGACACACCACCACACACTCGGCGGATAAGTGGCCGCAATTAGAGAACCACGGCCGTGAACCACACGTCAGCAGGACTTACCTCCTTGATCTGAGGATACTTCTTCTTGGTCTCCAGCGACAAGGTCTTGAAGTCCGCCTGCAGCGCCTCCACGAACTTGTGCACGTCCTGGCCACCGCACCCGCCCCCGCCCACGCCCACAAACGACATGGTCACTGGTTGGTTTGGATGTTCTGGCTATTTGGTCACTTGACACTCACTGCACCGAATGCGTGCCACATTTAAGTACCACGACCGATCCACGCATATGCTGCGCAACCACTTTGGGCTCGGGGAAATGCAATAATAATGCAGCGCAGAATAAAAGCCGTGAAAATTTGTGATTCGTTTTGACAGCTGACGTACACAGTGCGCGGTGCAGTGTTGGTAATCGTCTGGGTGGTCCATGTTAGCTAACATTGGCGGAACTGCTATTAGAAGCGGTCCCAACAGAGCCTTAGGATTTCGGTTACTGTAAAAATATGTGGTTAGCAGAAAAACAAAAAATAAGGATAATGGAAAACCGGAAGTTTGCTAACCAGGAGTTGGGCAAAGACTCAAAGGTCTCATAGATGTCCAGTTGACGTTGATTACAAACCGAGAAATTATAAGAAGCCAAAAGAGTTTTAAGAAGTCCCAAATTAATATGATAGAACTTGAAATGAAGTTGTCAAGTGTGCATTACTTTTATTGCTAAATATGAACTAATTTGATAAACATGACGTTTTGGGGCTTATGTCAAATCCACCTTGTAAAGCGGACTAATTCCCGTGGAAGAGTTCAAAACTTATAGCCATGGCAGGCCGACTGTTGCGCTGCATCCTGGTCCTTATCCTTGCCAGCTTTATTGTCATTTCGTACTTATCAAAATCAAGAATGATGGCACAAGTTAGTTACTTTAAAACATCAGTACCCGATTTTATCATGACTGATATGGTGTCCAAGAATCCTGGAACGCAGGGAAAGATTCGCAGAAGACTGCCGCTGCGGGCCTTCCGAAAAAGTATTGAATACTTTAAAGGTAAGTTTTCTAATACAAACAATCTTAGATATCATTTACTTCTTATTATTCAGGAAACAGTAATGACAGCCACGAAGATATACAAAATGGGTTACTTATTTCTAATACTCAAAATACGCAAACAAAAACTTTATATTCCTCTACTAGAAGCATGGATCAGCAACAAAGTAAGGATAATTCTTTTTCAACTAAAAAGCTATAGAATGTTTATATCTGATATTTTTATTAAAAAGTATTGGTAAAATTTGTTTTGGTTCAAAAGTTATGAAGAAGTTCAAAAGTTTTCTTTATCCCACAGATAAGGACAAACAACATCAGGAATTTTCGAAAATGTTAGTAGATTCAAAACACACTTTTGCGAAAAAATCAATGGAATTGTTATCAATAGATACTGAAGTACCCGTCCGAATGCCACTGGTGAGAACTATCTACGAGCCCGGTCACCAAAAAAATGAGGTCGATGTGGAAAGGATATGTCCCCGAGCAGGGATATTTACAAAGTTGTTGGTATTGATCACCTCAGCGCTCCATCATGAAGCGGCCAGAATGGCCATTCGCCAGACGTGGATGCACTACGGATCGAGGAGGGATGTGGGCATGGCATTTGTGTTGGGACGAGGCACGAACAGAACGCTGAACAAGGCCATCGACCGGGAGGATTTCATGTACCGTGATCTCATAAGAGGTCACTTTATAGACTCTTACAACAACCTCACTCTGAAGACGATATCATTACTGGAGTGGGCGGATCTTAACTGCCCGAAGGCTAAGTACCTCCTCAAGACGGACGACGACATGTTCATCAATGTGCCCAAGCTGCTGGCCCTCATGGCCACGCTCAGAGCGAATCGATCGATCTACGGTCGCCGGGCTGAGAACTGGAAGCCCGTTCGAAACAGGTGGTCAAAATATCACATAACCATCGCTCAGTATGCGAAGAATACCTTTCCATACTTTACCACTGGACCCGCCTACCTGCTCACCGGAGACATAGTTCACCCGTTGTATGTTCGATCACTGGATACCCCCTTCCTCAAGCTGGAGGACGTCTTTACCACGGGCATCGTGGCGGGCAGTCTGGATATCCAAAGGATAAACGTGCGCGAGATCGCCAACACTCGCACAAAGTTCGAGCCATGCCACATCCGCGACAGGATCACTATCCACATGGTGCGAAATAACGAGCAGTTCGTACTGTGGAAGATGTTGCTGGATGATACCATTAAGTGTAGTAAAAAGTGAAAAACAGCTTGTTACTTTAAGCAGGCTGAGAGTGCCATTGTTTTGAGGTTGAAAATAAAAACGAATCTGTATATTTATATTTATCTGAATAAGTGTTGAAAAAGTAAAGATTTCCAAAGTTGTACCAAATTGTCAAAAATATATTATTAGATATTGAGCAACATATCAATTAGTTTTGCACACAATTATTTTTAAAAACATTTATTAACGAAAACTTTTTATATTTACATTGTTAAGCCCACAATAACTGTTGTGAAGACTTTAAACTTTCTGGAAGACGAAGGAAATGAAGAACTCGATCTAGAGCGCACTGGTTGGCTGGTAGGCATAGAACTCTTCCTCCTCCGTTTTGCTAAATCTCAGCTTACCCTCCTTCTCCAGCTTGCTGAGGTGGTGGTTTACATTGTAGGCGGCAGCGGGCCATAGGTTTTCCGGAGTCTCCTTGTACACCACCCGCACTACGTCCATAGCCTGCAAGCGTTCGCCGGGTCGCTGGACGAAGAACTGCAGGATTTGCTGCTCGCGCTGGTTGCGATGGTTTATGTAGTATTCAATCTTGCCAATCGGTTCCTCGATCACATTTCCGTGGCCCGGAAAGATGCGCTGCGGCTTGATGTCCAATATCTTCTCCAGGCTCTTCATGTACTCGAACAGGTCCTCGAAGACAGCGGTGCCCTCGCCCAGGATGCAGTCGCCGCTGAAGAGTGTTCCCTCGTTCATGGCCAGTACGACATGGTCTGTCGTGTGACCGGGCGTGTGCACCACCCGCAAATTGGCTCCTTCCGTGGCGAACTCCTGGTTGTGAGCCAGTGGATGGAGTTTAATGTGGGCCGGAATCTCAGGACAGACATCCTGAGCATCCGTGCGCCCGAACTTGAACACCCGGCAGTCTTTGTCGACCAATTTGGTGCCCAGAATGCTCTTGACACCGCCAACATGGTCGTGGTGCCAGTGGGTCAACAAAATGGTGTCGATGGAGGCTTGCTCCTGCTGCAGTACGTCATTCAGGTGATCAATGTACTGGGGCACATCCTCGTCCCCGGTGTCAATTAGGATTCTCCTCCTTCCGCTGCCCAATAGGTAGGTGTTGGTGCCCTGTAGCGTCATGGGGCTGGGATTGCATCCCAAAATCCGGATGACGGAGGAGGTAAGTCGGGTAACAGCCGGAATAAGAGCCATTTCTTCGTTCACAAAAGCTAAGGCGGCAGTAAATGTTGTATTACATTTCAGAAACTTTGGGATACAGTTTAAATACTTACGTAAATTAAGCAAGAAAATAATACAATTAAGGGCGATAATAATGAGGTTTTATTTATTATTTTATTATTATTTTTATTAATGAACTTTGCTCTTATCAAGAAAGGCGCTTTTTTTCTTATACAAATTAATCAGCTGTTTTGTGCAGTAGTGTAAGTGTTGGTAAACATTAGGAAGGCAGCGCTGTAAGCTAACATTTGGGTGACCATCATCTTAAATAAAATATTAAAACAAATAAGTTCTGGACGTATCCTTTATTAATTTGACCAAAATGTTTTAATTATTTAAAGTAATTTCAATATAATATTCTAAAGTATTCTTGAAATGAGCTAAAATTATAAAAGATTTTACGATTTCATAAAAATTAATTAAATAAATTACATTCACAAATCTATGTAGACAGTTCTTCTTAAATATTCGATAAGTCGATACTATCGGGAATGTGTTCAGTGGGGTTTTTTTTTGTTGTTTTAAGGTACATTTTAGAAAGGAATTCGATTTTATTTTTTAAAAAGTTTGAAATTTAATGTAAGTTTGAACGTAATGGAAAAATGGATTTTTTAGTGACATTCGTTATTGTTCCATAGCGTTTTTATGAGTAATACAATCGTACCATCTGGTAACACTGTCGTTAATGTTGAGCTAATCGCGAACAAAATCGGTTTGCAAGTGGGAGTAATGGAAAAGGGGAAAAAATTGTAATACGTGAGGCCGCTGTAACGCTGCTAATTGTGCAAACCAAAACCCCTAAAAGTGTCATAAAACTGCATTATATAGCAAAGGCTGCGATAATATAAAACCATTAAAAAAATTGAGAGGCATCGTGAAATTAAATCAGAGTCTGTGTGCTGCCCACGAACAACAACAAATTGCCTGGTTTGCCAAGGTGTTTAATACTTATTTATTTTTAAAACATGCTACGCATGACTAATGAAACGGGTTGGCGTTATTAAAAACGATTAAAACCAAAATACTCAGAAAACTAAAAAACGCAAAATAATCCCCAAGGCACACACACACACGCACGCACACAAGCAAAGTTTTGTGGTGGCGCCTAGGGTCCAACAACAACAACAACAATAACGGCAATTCATCATTTGTTAATTGTCAACAAAGGCATATTTATTAACGTTAAATAAACACTAAAAATAAGCAGCAGGCAGACCAGCAAGTAATTATGCTTGACCCTGGTCCAACAACAATAGCCTCATCTCCGATTCCATCGCAAGAGAAAGAGAGACGCAGCTAAACCACGCTGGGAGGTAAGTTTTGCCCAAAGATTGTGGAGGTTTCAAAGATTTCAGAGATTTCCGCGGGACTGTATGACCAGTAGACTCACAGACTTCGTCGACGCAACGATGACGATGCGTTGCCTAGGGTTTTGTTATTTTATTAACACACAATTATGTATGTTTGCTTGGGCAACCACCACCGCCGACGAGCGCACATTTCCAAATCCCACGGCCGGACATTGCACCATTGCTTTTTGGAGGTTTCATTAACGGCAGCCAACCTCCAGATCGATCTTCCTGGTATCACCACAGCTATGGGTTATGGATACCATCATTTGCACTTCTACAAAGCCCAATTTAATGCAATTAATACCCGTTGTGTTTGAATTGATTTATCTTTTTATATACGCCCCATGAAGCACACATTCTCTCGAATGCTCAGAATCTAGCATTGGCAGACCGATAAACAATTTCGCGGGTTCAACCATCAACATTTTTTCGTGATATTAATGTACTCTCTCGGTATCAGTCAGCCCATTTAAACAATTTGTCAGAACCTTACATTGTTTCTCAAAATACTTCGCGGATCTGAGAAAAAAATAAAACAAAAATACTTGCCAAAAAAATGTTATCTTGAAAAAATTAAAGCAATTCATTTAGGAAGTATGAATTAATAGTTCAGCCTAGCAAATATATGTACACATGCTCTCTATTCAGTAACAGTCATAAGAAAAATTCCCAAAAAATTTGTTTCCTAATTCCTAAGTTTTTTGACAAAATAATGGCATACCCAGTTTGACCATAAATCAACCAAGTAGTTAACAATCTAATAATTATTTATATTTGCTTCTAAAGTGGTTTTTAAAGACTAGATAAAGTCAGGTGATTACGTTTCCCCTTTTGCTTTATGAGTATGTATTTGTGTTAATGCAAATCCAAGATGCATATCTTTCTGCGTTAATATTTTAGTGTCATCTGCAGGTTTGAGAGTATTCAACTGGAACCTCGAATAGGAAATAAGTTTTAGTTTTTAGGACAAAGTTATTTGCAAAAAAAAAAAACCAAACCAACCGTAAATATAAAACTCCAAAGAACTTAACTGGTGATACCAGTTAAGATGAAATTGATTATTTTGGAGGACTGTTACAAACTGATCAGATCTTTCATTAACACGTTCCAGTGTCCAGTAGAATCTTCCTGGCCGCAGCTGAGATTGATAGCGGGGCAGTTGGAGATGAAGATAGTTTCGAGACGCCCGAAAACCAGTTTGCCGCCTAACCGGCGATTATCTGCGGTTCATTGTACTTATTAGCAGACTCGGAGTGGGGCCACGAAAAAATATAACCGACCGGCAGCCAGATTGGAAGTTTGGACCCACTTCCGCTTACTACTTGCCCCTCGCTACCATGAGCTTTTTCTTCTGAATTCTAGTTACACATCATAAAATTACGCGCTCTTGTCAAATTTCACGGCTCTTTGGCAATATCGCGCACAATTGCAAGGTTCTAAAATCAGATAATTGCTCAAAACATGTGGAACAATTATAGTCAACGTTCTTTAAATTGAACAGGGAAACTTCTTGTAGATTTAGAAATGCCGTTTACTTAAAAAAAATCTACACAGTTTATTGTTATGGAATTTTCAAGAATACCAGTGGTGATAAAATTATTTGAGTTGTTAAAATCTGACGTAGTAAAGTTCTTAGTAACAAAAATATATATGCACATATATTTGCAGTGGAAGTCCAATTACAAGCAGAGTGCGATAATTCAAAATATAAAACTTAAGTTCATGCAACCAATTTATAAAATGCAATTACCCAATGCATTGTCAGTGACTCATCTAATCGCGCAGATAAGACACACTTTCACTTTTGATGAGCAAACAAAGGGGTACCCTCTTATCAATAACCTGCACGTCACGCTGCGGCTTCGAACAGAAATAGAATTTCGCTTATTAGCTTAGCCGTTGTGCGCGTCCGTTCAGCTTTGTGATAAGCGCAGAAACAACACGATATAACATTGTCGGAATTAGCTCCCCAAAAAAATTCCATTCTTTCCGGTTTTCCAGTAGACAGTGGTCCGTACCCCTCCACTTTGATAAGGACTCTCCAATAAGGTTTATCATCCAATTCGGATGATTACTATTCATTAGCTAACTAAATACTTTTCGACTAAATTTCTAAGTGAATTCATAATTATATTCTTATCTGCTCTAAAATAGAAATAATAAATTTATATCATTTATTGGGCAACAAATATGTAGTGTTTGTAATTAAATGATAAGTGAAAATACGGAGAAAAAAGTATATTTCTTATCAGCTAGGAGCTTCGCAAACAATAGCAGGCATGCATTTGTGCTAACAAATATCAAAAGATCTCTTTTTTTCTTTATTTGATATATTTATCTTTCATTTTTTTCATGTTTCTTTATAAATACCATACAAGGTAGACAGAATTTGGATTTGATTGGGTTTTCCAATACACAATTGCGACTTAGGGTATTGCTTCACTCTGTCTGACTTAGATTAGATAAGAGTGGAATGATTGCTAATTGTTTTAAGCAAAAACGTTTTTAATCTTGACAATAAAATGAGCTATCATTTGATTGCAATTATAACAAAAATTAATTGGGGTATGTCTAGATTTGTATGCACCTATATTTAGTCACAACGACGATACATATTTACTAAGACTCTTGTGAAAGCAAATCAAAGATTCTAGTTTGTCTAGAAACGCACAGAAAGACGTACGACTTATGTATATCGTATCACCTGATGATGATTATATACTTTATTATCTTTTTTACTGCGTTGCAAACTTCTGATTTGGGTAACCAAAACGAGTTAATCTAGATCTATTTGTGATTGCGATTCCAAGCAATTCTACTTTACGAATATTTAGATCCAAGACATATAACTTACCTTTCCCGACTAGTCCACATATAGATAAGAAACGTGATAATTCTTTGATAATAACTTCCAGCTCTATCGACAAACAATACGCTTGCTACCAATGACGCACTGGGAATTTTCATTGACTATTCAAGACAGTTCGGGGCCAAATCGAAAGTTGTTAGAAGAGTTACGACTGTCCGTCTTGTCGTTTTATTGATTTCCATATCGAACTGTCACTCCCTAGTAGTTCTATTTTTATGGAAGCCAAGTAAAGTACCTATTATATATTAATGGGATTCCAAGAAAGACCTGAAACTTCCAGATGAGATCGACAGATAAGAAATCTTATCGTCCAGCTGGCCAAGGCAATACGACTCAAGTTGCTACGGCGCTTCTGGTCAAGAGTGTACCCCATGTTTGTGTTTCTGTTCTGCTCTTCAGTCTCCAAATCGGGTCAAGTCTGCTCCGCTGTTAACTTATTCGAGCCGCATGCAAAGTGGGGACGGAGCCCAGAGCAATGTCGTGACAATTCTGGATGCTGTGCGTGTCATCGCCTTCGGGGAATTCATTAGCTCACGGAAACTTCCAAAGTACTTGCCCGTTCGTCAATCCCATTACCATACAAATCAGCTAAGGTTTCCCCTCGTGTCTTTCGAAAAAAGCCGTTTATTCATTTAACTAGCACTTAAGATATTGAATTCCAAACCGATGCAATGGCATAAAGCTTTCGAAAACCTAACGATTTCTAGACAACAAACTGGAACTTTATTTAAGAATGCCAAAAATAGCTACACAATTTTAAAGTAGAAACTGTAAGTTTTATCAGGAATACCTTAATAGAGCAAGAAATAATAGCAGAAAACTACTACATATTCCCTAGCGTAAATGCATCGTAAGTTTGCAGTTTAAAACAATTCTAAAAGTATACAAAACGTTATCTTTTTTTGTTGTTGACTCCACCTTACTCGCTCTCTACGCAAATGTTTGCATTTTTTCTCCTAAATGGAAACGAAAAAACAAAACAGTTTTTATGGGTTAACTCGACTGAAAAGTACCTTTCTAAATGGAAGAAGAAAGAAAAATGCAGAATGTTTTTTTAAGCCTCGAAATATCTAAATAGTTTGAATAATAGTATTGAATATTAGCATAGTAGTAAAGTAATAAAATAAGAAATTAAATATTGCTGTTTTGTTTATCAATTTTATATAGAAAAGTCATTGTTTGATGTCTTCTTTTTTAAAAATGTTGTAAAAGCCGAAGTTCATGGCAGAAATACTTTCGTCCCTGTACACTGTCCAATCTTTAGCAAAATATACCTTCCTATTCCTATGGTGCACGGGTAATAAAGCACTTAACAAATCAGCTGAATCAGTTGTTTACTTACATTTCCGTGGTGTTTTCATTGCAGTTGCACCTCAATCGTCGCCAGGCTTGGAAGCGTCCAGGGCATCGTTATCATAATACTCACAGATTGAAGGCGTAAACCAGCAAAACGAAAAAAGGAAGCAACGAAAAACGAACAAGTGGATTGAAGTCCAAACTGAAACTGAGACTTAGACTGACTGAGATTTGCGAGATTTGGCAAGAGCCCACCATGGGAAATCTACACAACACGCGCATGCTGCGCTTTCTTTTAGTCCTAATCGTGGTTATCCTCACCATTTTCATCTACGCCTCGTACTCTACGACAGGCACCCTAACAACCAACCATTTGCATTCGGCGGCATCGCCGCCCCAACAGCTAATTGGCGGTCATCCCGGACGCCTGCCAGTTGACCAAGTCCTTGTGGTCAATAACACGGACAGGGAATACGGCCAGGCAGCTGGGGCAGAAAGTGCGGCTAAGATAACCAGCAAACAGTCACAACAGCAACAACAGCAGCCGGCAGAGATCCACAAGAAGCATCCGCAGCACCGGCTGCCCACCATCGATGAGGATGCTCTGCTCGATGGCGGCTCTGCAGGCGCCAGTCCCCAGGTGGGTGTAGCTGAGCAGACGTCCAATGTCATGGCGGATGAGCTGCTGGAAGAGCAGCAGTATGGCCAAAGCGTTGATGGCATCACAGGTGAGTGGAAGTACTAACATTCTAATGCTAACTATGCTAATGACTCGGATCTTCTACAGGGAACATCAACAGCAGCACCAACAACAATAATAGCAGCTCAGGCGATACGGTGGTTGTCAAACAATCGATTCCTGCGCAATCACCACAACAAACCCAGTCGCAAGCGCAGCCAGGGCTATCCGATGCGGAGCTTCTTATACCCACTTCCAATTTGCAGAAATTTATTGAGAATGCCGATAAGATACTAAAAAACATCACCTCAAACAGTAGCACGGGCAATGGAATTGCTGTCCCCGCCACCGGAACAGACCCAAACACTGGTAATTATTGCTATGTTAGTTATAGAATAACAAACCAACTAGCTAATATCTTACAGATTAAGTTATTTTATTTTAACTTGACATATATCCTTCGTCATTTAATTGTAATCGATCCACCGAAGTTCCTGTTTATTCTTTTTCATAACGATCTGTTTATTGAGATACATATGTGCCTATATAAAACCCCTCCAAAGTTAAACATTTGCACAGACAAAGACCCGCTGACGTCGCACCCATTTGAATTGCTCCATGGCAATGGCGGATAATATGTGCCGTCCGCTTATACAGCCATGTATCATCTTTCAATATGGTAGCATTGTAAACAATCGCACGTTATTTCATACTATTGAATTACTTTCCAACAGCCGCTTATGGGACCAAGTAGAATTTAGTTGCCTCTTTATTTGTATTTCTATTACGTTTGTACAACATTGTAAGCATTAACTGTTTGCTTTTTCTTTGTAGATAAAGTCAATCAACCGGATGTGGCACAACTCAATTTAGTGGACGGACCGTTGGAGGGCTCAGACGCTGACTCTGAGAAACGGGAACTTGAATCCAAGGTGATCCAGGAGATTAAGGAAGCGAAAAAAGATGCAGCTCCTCCACCGAAGTCCCCTAGACCACCCGTGCCCATTGCAAAAACGACAAAGGGCAAGAGCGTGCCAAATGTGGCGCCAAATGTCCCAGTGGATCCGTCAAAGGGAGTGGCCACCGAGAAGCTCTATGAGCCTGGCCATCTGGACGAGGAAATCGATGCTGGTCGCATTTGTCCGAAAGGCGGAGAATTCATAAAGCTTCTGGTTCTTATTAGCTCTGCAATGTCTCATGATGCGGCCAGGATGTCCATCCGGCAGACGTGGATGCACTACGGGAGCAGAAGGGACGTGGGCATGGCATTTGTTTTGGGACGTGGGACCAATGAAACCCTTAACAAGGCACTCACCCAGGAGAATTTCATTTACGGGGATCTGATACGTGGCAATTTCATTGACTCGTACAACAACCTTACACTAAAGACGATATCGACGTTGGAGTGGGCGGATCTGCACTGCCCGAAAGCAAAGTACATTCTCAAGACGGACGACGACATGTTTATCAATGTCCCCAAGCTTCTGAACTTCCTCGACAAGCATAAGGACAAGCGAACCATATATGGTCGCCTAGCCAAGAAATGGAAGCCCATCCGCAACAAGAAGTCGAAATACTATGTGGCTGTGGATCAGTTCGCAGCGGGCGTGTTTCCTTCCTTCACCACTGGTCCTGCCTACGTTCTCACCGGAGACATTGTGCACGAGCTTTACGTACGATCGCTGAAGACCGTGTATCTTAAGCTGGAGGACGTGTTCACCACGGGCATAGTTGCCAAGAGCCTGAATATCAAGCGGGTGCAGGCAAACGAGTTCGTCAACCGACGCATCTCATTCAATCCATGCAACATTCGTAACGCGATCAGCGTGCACATGATCAAGTCGAACGAGCAATTCGATCTGTGGAAAAAACTGCTGGACCAGACCACCAAATGTAAATAGTATTTTAGGTTTAGAGTTTAATCTGCCGGTTTAAACAATCCAGTGTAAGAAGGGTGGTCTTTCGAGGAGAGCAAATATATGTAATAGAGAGAATGATTAGCAAGGGCAGCTATAGGATTATTAAATTAGCCTAGTCTCTAAGTCCTAGAAATATCACAAATTTCGTTGTCGATCCCTGCATCTGCCTATATGCATGCGGCTCAACAGCGATCCGAGTACATTTTAAAAAGATTTGTAGTTTAATTTTAGCATTCTGAATGCCATTATTTAAATGATAATTACTGAGCGATAACTGTGGTTATATCTTAACACGAAATAAATTAATGTATATCGAGAGAATCAAAAAATGCTTCTATTTTGGAATTTATATATCGGACACAACTGAAACATTTCTTATGGGGAAGTGAACAAAGGTGTACATTATGTGGGAGTCCGTCATCGGATGTTATCGCTAGCTATAATGGTAGCATGCTTTTGGGCATCATTTTATATGTTAAGTGGTATTTGGTGCCCAGTCGGACTTCTCGCCATGTGATGCTTTAATCCCCAATTACTTCCAGCTAAAAGGTCATATCAGCGGCTATATGAAGAATTCGCTGTTCAAAGGCTTAAGAAAGTATCAGCGGTAAGTATATATATATAGAAAAAGAAAACACTATCTTTGTTTTTTTTGTTTATTTGGAATTACTTAATTCCATATCAACATAATATTTTTATTGAATTCAGTAAAATTTTTCAAACATTTCATTTTTCGTTACTCGTACATGACTTCTTTTTTAGGGGTTTTCTTCAATTTTTATGTAGCTTTTTGTTGTTGTTCTTTTTCCTTCTTGACGTAAGTTCCATTTAATATTACAGCTTATATTTTTTATATCTTTTTAATATTTATATTTTTATAGTTAAACTTAAATAATACAAAAAGCAGTGTTTGTTTTTCATCTTGTTACCCACATTTTTAGTTTACCTGTGATTTTATGAAGAATTATTTTTAAACGTTAATTAAAGCAATCTTCTTAGACTTTTTAATTTCTAAAATAGACAACAAAATCAATTTTTTTTATTGTTTAACTTGTCTTCAGATTAAGAACTTTTCGAACTAAAATATGTTATTGTTGTTTTAGTGTTTATAATTAAGTTACTACTATGAATTAGAATCTGCATTTGTTACTATATTCTTCATAAACTAAATTTATTAAGCTTCTGTTAATTTCTCGTGTATTGTGGGTTGTGGTTTTAGTTAAATTATTTTTTATTTAATCTATTGTGTTGTTGGTAAATCAAAAACCATAAATGTATGCATACTTAAATGTAATTTTACATTGTTTCTTCATTTTATTTACCATTAATGTATATAACATTTGCATATATTTATAAGTATATATATGTCATTATGTTATACTTGCTTAAATCTATGTAGCTTATTTTAAATACAGTTTCTTTTTATTTTTCTAGTTCATTTTATTTTTCTAATGCCGCTAATTTTGCCATATTTTTTGTTTATTTTGTAAGAATTTATACCAATTGCAAATGAAAGTAAATTCAACAAATTTTCTTTAAATAATTTTTATATTTGTCTTTTTTGCATTGCATCTTTTGGTTTGGTACATACGCCGCAGTGTCACTCTTTTCTGTGGGAGATCTTAAAAAACCTGCATATTAAGGAATTCTTTTGATGAAAAAGTTGCGGCCTGATTTTGCTATTTTTCGTAGCGAAAGTTCAACACGATTTTTGGACATTATTGTGATTATGCAAAGTCCCTTCAACAATCTTTGAAAAATCTTTTTGAAATTCTTTGAACATTATTTGTTGTCGCCTTGCGTTTGTTTCAAGGATTGGTTGTCGGTTTACATACAAAAATGTCAATTTTAATGGTTTTTTATTTTTCTTTATGTTTTATTTTACATACATAAAAAATGGCAGTTTATATATATGCTTGTTAAATATAATTTATTTAAATTGTGTGCTAGTAGTTGCCGCCTAATGAAGAATAGAAAGTCTTTAAAGTAATAATATTTTCTTTCGGATCCGAATCATTTGGCGAGTATCTGGCAACCGCTGGCAGGCAAAACCAATCTGAGACTGAACTAAGGAGACTTTTTAAATTAATTTTTGTAAGCTATAGGGTCAAACATTTACTTGGCAGTTTTTTCATTTTTTTATATTTTTATTATATATTTTGTTATGGGAAATATTTATTTGTTTTGTTTACAAGATCTTTTTTTTTTACCCTAGATAACCTATTAATATTTATCGGCGGTTTTCGGGGAACACACTTTGCCGGGACAAAACTAAATAAAATATCGTCTTGAAGTCTAATTTTGTGCGTGAAAATCTTGAGATGAAAAACAATCTTATAAGTCTAGATGGTAGCTCAATTTAATTGAAACTCTGCCCGCGGTTACCTGGACAAAACGAAAATTTATTTTGAATGATCTCCCAACAGGAATTTGTTATGTTCAATGATGACAATTTTTGCTGTCATTTTATTATACTACTTAACTAAATACCTTCATTCCATAATTTATTTAGCTTAGTTTTAGGAAAACATGCACTAGCAAAGATTTTAGAAAACAATTTTCGTATTACATTTTTTTAAGAAATGCTACTTAAAAAAGTAAAATGGTTGAAACTTAATCCACTTGATGAAGCCAGAAAAAACTTTTAAAATATATGGGAATGTGGGTACTAAATTTATAATGAAAATGGACAAGATTTATGTTTTTCACTATCTCTGATCCAAACAGAGTCCTCTTTTTCATTATCTAAAATATTTTTTAAATTTGCCAGTTAAAGATCATTTTATGAAAGAATGTTTTTTTTTCTTTTTTCATAATACATATATTTTTATATTTATGTATAACATTTCCCATTATACTTTTATTTATTGATTTATTTTCTGCAGTTCGTTTTTCCGGTTTTTTTGGCAAAACTTTATAGCATTTTATCTGGCTCATCACCTTACTTTACTCTTAGAAATTACACTAGTTAAAGTGGATGGAAAAAGGGATAATTATTAAGCTTTTGTTATGCCGGCTGCGAGCTTTTTATTTTTTGAGTATTTTTTGGGAAAATAGACAGCTTTGCTTTTAAGTTATTTGAGGTTCAAAAATGTATTTTGAATATCATATTCAGAGTCGGGTCAACTGTTTGTTTTTTAGTGAACAAAAAGTTGTAATAACTCAATTTAGATGGCATTTTTCATTCCATGGCGGAATAAATGGCTTCTAATCAGAAGCTGAGAAGAAGGAGGCCACCACCATTTTACGGAAAACTAACCTCTTAAGTGGATTCGCTGTAAAACATATAAGATGAAACGGATTTTTTTTATTTAGTTAAAACAACTTGGATTTATTTATATTATTTTTGGGGTTGTTTGGTGTTGTATACATAATATATTTTTATTTTGTATGCTCTTCATTTTTATTGTAACCAGTAACCTCTTTACTCTTATTTCAGCTATTTGTTATTTTTGCTTCATTTATATTTCTTTAACTTAAATATTTTCATGCGATTTACCCAATAATGATCTTGGATTTAGGGTTTTCAATAATAAGTGAAGAGTATTAATTTCAAATATGTCTTGGTTTTGCTTTAAGTGTCCCTTCAATTATGCCTTTTTATATAATTGTGGTTTATTTAACTATGTCGCGCCTTAGTTTGCCTTCTGCAGATCTTGTTTAATTTTTTATTTAAGAATCTACAATTTAAGTTGTTGTTGCTTTATTAATGTAGTGTTTAAACAAGTAAGTGTTATGCGCTTTTAATGCCTTTGTTTTTATTCATGTGGGAAAAATGCTGCATTCTGCTTACACTTATAACAAATTTAACAAAATTATATTTTGGGATCCTAAGCAAATTTTGTTGCTTTTCAGGAGTTTATGGGTGCTGACGGGAAAGGGGCTAGAGAAGAGTGGATATAAAGTTATATATATATATATAAACATACATATATCTGTTTATATGTCCTCCAATTGTACAATTTATATATATATATATATATAAATACATATACATATATATTTCATTGTAATATATAAATAATTGTTGTATGTTCAAATCATTTTTGTTATTTTTTTTAAGTACAATTGCTGTTTTGCATTTTAAAGTTTTTTTCGCTGCGCTGTTTGTCGTTTATATGTTTCTTGTTGTTCCTGTTCCAAAAAATGACACTAAAAAACCAATAAGAATTTCTTAAGAACATTTATCATTTTTGGTTTTGTTTTAAAATTTTATTACGGATAATATAATATTTTTCGCTATTTTATGAGGCCTGCCAATCATACTTTTTAGTTGCTGCCTAAATTTTAAACTAAATAAAATTCTCCTAAAAAATTAAGGTTTTTGTGTGATTCTGTGTGGGGCGTTCTTTATTTAGCGTTGGGTAGGTTTTTATTTGTTTTAGCTTTTTTTATTTTGCTTTATCGCGCTAGTTTCTGTAATCTTTAAGTTTTCCATTTTCTTCTTGTAGCTTCATTTCTTTTAGTTTTCTCTTTGGTTGTTGCTGTATCTCGCATGTTTTTTTTTGCGTTAAACTAGTCGTTTATGCATTGCTACACTTTTCTTGTTTCTGTTTTGTGTGTGGATTTTGTTGCTGTTTTTCTCTATACTTCATCCTTTTCTTTTAATCCCATCTCTCATAGATTCCTCGATGGCCGCTTCCTTTTGATACTGCCGATCCCAGCTCACCGTGTTGCCATGTCCATAGCGCTTCTCTTAATCAACCATCAACTCGAAGTGAACGGATCCTCTTCTGTCTGAACGGTCGTGGTTGATGTTGCGGGCCCAGGCTTTGCACTCAATGTTGATCAAAACGCCGGCTAAAAAGTAAGAAAATAAATTATTGTTTCATTTTTAGACAAAGATTAAACAAATGTATTTTTCTAAAGTCAAAAATGCCTTGAAGGAACCCGTAAGTCCTATTAAACTAACTTAATTTGGAAAGTTTTAAATAACTTTTGTATTGATATTATACAGAAAAGCTATTTATACACAAAAATTTGACATAAGTTGCAACATATTTAGGACAAACAATACTGATTTTAATAAGAATGTCCCCCTTTGCGGAATTTTCTTTATTGTTAGTAACCCATTTATTAAAGCAATTGTAAAACGGATGAGGTCCTTAGAAACTTTTTAAATTGAGAACAAAGAAAAAAGAGAACGCACTTCCTGCTCCATTTCCAGGATTGTGTTGTACTGGCTTCCTTTGCAAAAGGAACAATATTAAAATTATTTATTGTACCGTTAAATACGGTTATTGTTTGAATAAAGGTTGCTGCTTAGACACAGATAATAATAATGGGTAATGAAAACAAACTCCGTAAGTCGGCCACATTTTTCCTTTCTTTTATTTTGTTAGTTTTGTCTAACATATTTTCATTTCAAGCTTCTCTAATCTCTAGATTTAGACGGACAGATATACCAGGCTAAACAAATATCAAAATTTAATAAATATAGGGATTTGACTTACTTTCAACGGTAAATTGAACAGCAACAATAGGCGGTATGTACCCCTTAATGTTTTTGAAGGGGAAATAGTAACGAGGGAAACCCATGCGTGGATAGTAATCACGAGCTTTGATGTTCTCGACATCGGCAGGATTTTCACCCTCGCACGAAACCCAAACTACATTTGTCTGAAAGTAGAAATATTAAAAATAAATTGAACATTTGTTTTATTACATTTATATGTTTATTTGTCCGAGCTTACTTCATTGGGTCGCAGGCTTTGCTTTTCTTTGATGTGCTGTTTCAGTTCCTCGGGCATATGCTCTGGCAATGTCTTTGAATCGTTGTAAATTTCTGGCACCCAATTGTAAATCTTAAAAGATTTAGATTACATGTTAAGATGATTTTTTATTAAATACCGGAGATGGGGTTCGTTTACCTTATTCAACTTAAGGAATATACAGGGTCTGGCCACGTGATAGCCAAAGTTGTTGTCAGCTGTACATGGTGCAAAGGTCGAGATATCAATGCCGCAGACTTTGTCTTCTGGGGGTGGATGTTCGAAGCTGCAGTTCACTTGATTTTGCTTCTCAAGATCCTCGTAAGCTAGGGATAGCATAAAACACGGTTAAGGATGGTGGCTCGGTAATGATTTAAGCGAAAGCAATAGCCTAAATTTTCTGGTATTGTACTTTGGAGCAATAATGTTGTTAATTTGCTTTTTTAAAAACCAAATGTAACTTACTGTGATCTTTTTATAATCGGTTAACAAAAATCAAATCATGGAAAAAAATTAATTTTAAAATCAATCAAAAAAGGTAGCTTCGGTTTCCGAATAATTGTTGGATTGTTCTTCGAAAAAAACACACAAAATACAAACGATTTTTAGACCACAAAAAATCTAAAGATCATATATAGTCTGAAACTACCTAAATATTTAAAATATTATTTTTAAAAATAAATTATAATTTTTGGTCTAAAAAGTACAAAATAATTGTTATTACTTACATTTCAGGAAACGGGAAGTCTCCTCGACCCAGTATTTATAATTATCCTTCTTGGATGACTCGTACCAAACTAGTGTGCTCTCAACATTCGCTTCTGGGGGCATTGGTCGGAAACCAAGACCTAAAGTAAAGAGAAAGCAAAATGAGTTTGTAGAATGAGCTAGCACACATTTAATTGATTAAAGTCTTTCCCTTGCCTCCATATCCAATTAGTTAATTCAATTATTTTACTTTTTGCATTGGCTACTTAATTTACTGATAGACTCACTTAATCGTTTAGGTGCCAAAACACTGTAGAGCGATAAAAACTATTTGGTTAAGACGAAAAACTTACAGTTTCAGACCCAGCTTTATTAAAAAATATATTGAAAAAACTTTAAAAGACTATTATCCTATAGGTTCTAATAACTTCGCAAAACTTCCTTGCTTTTAAATGTAATTTTGTGTTGATAAATTGAATTATGGTAAATATCATTTTCCTATGATAATTACCTGGGTTGGATCCAATCAAACCATTATCAAGCATCCATTTCGGCTTCTCATTGTCCAACGTTTGATAAAATACCGTAAATATGGCAGCAAAGAATCCAGTTAACGCCGCATAAAATATTATGTAGAACAGAAGAATTTTCGCTGAAAAGAAAAACAAGAAAAGTATTCCACAATTAGTCATTACTCATTAACACAGATTTTAAGCAACATCAATTAAAAATTTATAATCCTCTTCATTATTTACTCAATAATTCATTAGTTCTAATTCATAATCACTCTCTTTTATCTTTTTCTCCTATCGTATATTTTAATCTATATAGCTTTTTGGTATTTCAATACTGGATCTACATATTAATTATTGTCGGCATTTAATTGTTTCTGTATATATGCATTTTGACATTTTGAGATTTATGAGCTACATTAATTATCATTTTATTGTTCATCCGGTATGTGTGACACTCGTGGATTCCCGAACGTAAACTTGAAAAGTATTTACTTAGCAAATGGAATAATTTATCTGTCCATTAAATCGTGTGAAATTCTGGAGAGTCGTGGGAAAAGCATGTAGAGCTAACTTTGACAATATTAAATTGACATTCGACTTTGCCGCTTGAAGAGTTTTGCCTTTTTTATTATTATACCCTTGCAGAGGGTATTATAATTTTGGTCAAAAGTGTGCAACGCAGTGAAGGAGACATCTCCGACCCTATAAAGTATATATATTCTTGATCAGGATCACCTCCTGAGTTGATATAGCCATGTCCGTCTGTCCGTCTGTCTGTCCGTCTGTCTGTCCGTCTGTCTGTTTCTACGCGAACTAGTCTCTCAGTTTTAAAGATATCGAATTGAAACTTTGCACACACCCTTCATTCCTTTGCACGCAGTATATAAGTCGGAACGGCCGGGATCGGACGACTATATCCTATAGCTGTCATATAACTGAACGATCGGAAATGCCATAACTTTGGTGTTTGTAAAGTTAGGAAGTTGGGATTTTCTATGGGTTTTATTTTTAGCCAATCAATCCGACCTATCAAATTTCATAAGGATCGGTCGACTATATCCTATAGCTGCCATATAACTGAACGATTGGAAATGCCATAACTTTGGTGTTTTTAAAGTTAGGAAGTTGGGATTTTTGATGAGTATTAAGAATGCATCATATGAATAATTTTGGAGAATATAATTTACAGAGTATTCTGCAAGGGTATATCAACTTCGGCTCCGCCCGAAGTTAGCTTTCCTTTCTTGTTTTTAATGTTATCTCTGCCTTTAAATAGTTTGTCTTACATAATTTATTATTTGTTGTCGGGTTAACCCAACTTACGTTCGCATGGCAACACACAAAAACCAAACTTGAGCGAGGTTTAATGTTTAAGTAGGATGAAAAAGATACAAGTTTTAATTAGTGCCTCGGCTTTCAATAAGGATTTACATTTTATGGCTTTCTTTAGTTTGAAGACGACATACGTATTTATTAGATTTATGTTTTCCCATTTAAATTATTAAGATTTTAATTTTACGGTCTTCAACATAATTGCCCATGCTGTAAAAAGTTTATAATTATGATGTAAAAATGAAAATATATCATATTTGACTAAGAAACATTATTGTAATTTGATGGTTGTACTAGGATTCAATTTGTGGCAGGTGTAATGCGAATGCTAATGCCAATGATGTCGGTGGTTGTGGGTCTAGTTTGGCCATGAATACATAATATCCATGAAATGCGACGGGCTCGGCCGTCCTTTGCCCTATCTGCATATCTGAGTGCGTTTGTCTGTGTATACATAACTAATTTACAGTTTATTTTTGGCTTCTTTTGAGCGCCATCAGCTTGTTGTTCGTTACGTATACGTATTACGTAAACGCCCGATAGTACGTTGATTTTCATTTTCAATTCTGATTAAGGTCGCACTTGTGCATAGCGTACGTTAGTAAAAGGACTCTATTTTTACATTAGGCTGACTTGTTTTCAACTGTGGCGTGGCTGTGGATTTAATTTTCATATGTGTAAATCACATATACTTAGCAAATTATTCAATTTTCAGTTCAGCTTTAATTACTGTTTCTTTTTAGTAGCAGAATAAGGGGATAACTACATAAGTTTAAAATCCTTTTTTTTTTTTTTTATAAAGAAAAAGCATTGATTTCCAAGGTCAGTTAATTAATATTTGTATTCGGGTTTGGCTTAATTACTTTGTCATTGGTTGCCAGGCGAAGAGTTAAAGGTCTTGAGAAAAATCCAATTAATGCGTTGAGTTTTCCGATTAATTGTTGGGTGCTCTGCTTGTGTGTGTGTGTGTGTGTAAGCACCTGACCAGGACAAGCTAGAGCGAATTGGGACTGTTACGTATACGCCATGCTCTCCCGCGCTCTTGCGCTCTCAACTGTGCTCTCTGCTTCCAACACTTTTCCCGTTTTCCCCGTTTTCCTCGCTTTCCGCGCTGCCGTTCTCCATATTTCTTGAACTTTGACATTTCCACAGCGCTGCACTTTAGAATACAAAATTGTAACAAGCGAAGAGCTGCCTTTATGCCACCTCTCTTTTTCCCTCTCTTTGTGTGCTGCATCTTCATGTACTTTTAATTTTAGACACAATTTTGAATGGTTAAGTAAGAGGTCCTTAAAATAAATCAAGAAAGAATGCTAAAGTCGAGTTTCCCATCATATCGTCGTCGTTACCCAGTCCCCTTTTATAATAATAGTTGTCCTTGATAGTAACTTTCGGTGGGTCTACATCTTATTTTGTTAATGCATTGTGTCATTTCAAATTTGTTGCCTACTATCAAAACTAATATTATAACTATTAGTTTTTGTCTGCTCCGCTGGTCAAAATATGATCAGCATTTTGACCACTGATCAAACAAATGTAAAGCTTATAGAGTGGTATCGAATTTCTGTACCCTATTCTTTTCCACGATTACATACACCCTTTTAATAAACGAGTAGAGGGTATGAGCAGGCATAAAAGAACATAATTCAAAACTCACGCTCAAGAAAAGTGGCACACAAGGCGGAATATGTAAAAATAACCAGCGGAAATGGGAAAATTCAAAAGAAAGCAAGAGGAATGAAAAAATATATTTAACTGTCAACAGCAGGAGGATTCATCACGCCGCGGGTTATGCAGCGCGAGAACTGGCATGATTCTACTTTACATTCACATACACAGTAGTATGAATACTGCCGAAAAAACATTGCAGTAGAAAAAAAAAAAAAAGGAATATAATATTAATGATTTACACTTTCCTTTGTAAACAGTTCTTCTGACACCAAGATATTTTAGGTCTACTTATTATACTTAAAAAATGTTCTTCCACGTAAAACGTGTGTTCTTCATAGATTCGTTATGTTTAAAATCTATAGATTTTTTAAATTTAAATTTGTGCATTATTTCATTTATAGTTCCTGAGATAATGATTTTCAGATGGAATGCCTATATTCGTAATGCATATTGATCAAAACTTGGTTTATATGGGCAGTATTACTTTTGCATGATAAGAATATACCGGCTAATGCAATCAATATTGGTTTAATCGAGGTGATGTTTCAATTAGCTTTTGCGTGTTTTGCTTTGCATCTTCGCCCGCTATGAAATTTACGCCTTGTCGTCTTTATTGCCATTCATTTTATTCTATTTTGTACTATGCTTAATTGCCTTTCAATTAAGCGCATCGGAAGTTTTTAATTTAAATCATTTAACTAAAAAATTTTATCCGTTAAGAACGAAAATTTTAAATTTTACAAACTTTTTTAGGGATTACCTTTAAATTATATAAAAATCTTATGTGTTTTTTTTACCATAAGGCTTTGATCGATATAAGTTATTCAAAATAAATTGTTGGAAGACATTTTCAATTATCACATAAACATAAATCGGGAAATTAAATTTTTTTTATTATATCAGAAATCAAATCAATAATTAGTTTATTTTTGTTTGTAAAAAGGTTTTGTAAAATTGGCTTTTATATTTAATAAAATGTTACCAAACTTTTATAAAATAAATTTAAATGCATTTCATATTTAACTGAAATATTATTCTTAATTGCATAATCAAATGCTCATGAGGTAAAATCTATTGTTCGGATTGTCTGAGTGCAACATTATGCAAACCTTTTAAGACTTGATTGCTAATTGCAGTGCTAGTCATTTTAAGGCTAACGTTTTTAGCAGAAAAGTAATCTTTCGGCAAAACTTGAAGTGTATTATTTAGCAGATAGATGGCTAGCATTCGAGTGTCAGTGTAAATTGGTTCGTTTTCCTTTTAATTGTTTTACTGGTAGCCTTGTTTGGTGCGCCGCAAGTTGATTTCAATAATTGAGTGCCAGATGCATATATATTTTTTAAATTGCTTATATGTTAATTGTGGCAATTGAAAAATGGACTGAGATTTCGTTAGAAAATGAAGAGATTTGTATCCATTTACAATTAGCTTCGTCTTAATTCTGATTGAAGTTTTTACTTATTTTTTGGGTCAGGAATGTCAATGTGTATAGTTGCCTTTGGTAGAGGTCAATCCAGTAATTGTTTGATAACGGAAAGGGAATAGGGCTATACTCGATCAGCTTTACTGTCGAAGCAGCAGAATATTTACCTATAAGTAGGTTACACCCACAACACCCACCTTTTTTGCACCTCCCTTTTACCAAGCTGTTGGCTGTGGAAAACTCGTGCAATGAGGTTAGAATTGATTTTTGTCGAGTGCCACATTCAACGAAACTGAATCGCATGTCCACAAGTATATTTTCACATTTGCGTTACTTTGTCATTAAGGAATAAGTGGGTTATAGGCAATTTAGCTTTGACTTAAATGTTGGATCAATGACAGATAGGTGACCAATAGAAAGAAAGTCCCTTGGCTGCCGCTCATAAAACTGAGTTATCAAAAATATGCATAAAAAACATTTTATATAATTCAAAAACTAAAATTTTTTTAGTTTGAACCTATAGGCTTTAATTTTTGAATGTCATTATTGCCCTGCTGAGGTTATTATTAGGCATTATAACTTATAATTTATTTATAATTGGTGGCTCAAAAGCAAGACGAAAACCAGTAAAACTAATCAATAACCCATTAATGTGGTATTAAAATGTAATATCATTTACAATTCTCAAAAAAGGGGAAAAGAATATTTAAGCATCAGGAGTCAAGGCAGCACGTGTCTAAGACAGTCAGGAAAAATTATGGAGGGAGTAATATGTTAGATAGGAAGGGTCAAGATGGAAAATGAATTACACTCAGGGGTATTAAATATCCATTAAGCAAACAAATAACACATTTAAATTTATTATAAAACCATTGCCTCCTATAATAATTTTCGAAACGGAAAACCAAACAAATTATTTTGGGCTAATATCAATCCGAAAAAAGACTAAGGTTTATGGTAAATAAAATCGTAAAAAATTACGTAAAAATTGGATAACTGATCAGCGCCATAAAAAATGTAGGACGATTTCTTTTTGCATGACACTTACACACGATATTCAATGATTAGTAGTATTTAACAGCCGCTATATAATAAACATTTTAATGTGTAATGTGAATTGGCTTGCAAGGTTTCCATTATGCAATCAATATAGAATCCAGCACGGAATAAGTGACTAAATTGTCGTTGGTAGCAAGTGAAGTGTACACGCATGATTGTAGGTGGCCATGTGCACTTTATTGATTTCCATTTTTAGACTAACTACGTAACTGGTAACTATGCATGGGCGTTTATGGTTTCTTCCCTTTAAAAAAAAATATTTTGCCTTTCTAAATGACCTTTGCAAAGGCTTTTATTACAATCAACTATTGATAGTGCCTTTCTAAAGAATTGTTCTATATCTAGCAAAGGGAATTAAATATATTTTTTTAAAGATAAAAATGTGGAATGTGTGAAAATTGATTTAAAACAATAAAAAACCGTTTTAACAATAAGTTATTTAACAATTTTTGAGCGCTTTTATTAAGATGAGAACCTAAGAAACCTAAGATATTTTACCTCTTTGGATTAGCTTTTTAATAGATGTTGATTTTTAATTTTTAGATAATTGGAGGTACTTACCCCAACTGGAACCGGTGCGCCCAAGGCATTGGCTAGTTTCACTGTTCCATAGGAATTTTTTGAAACCCTCCCATTTGCCCATTTTAACCGGCGGTGCATAGTATTCACCAATCTTCTTATCGGCCATGTTAATGCTTTTATTTGCTTGCTGCCGTTGGTTTTGGTTGGATTACTTATTCGTCTTGTCACTCGGGTTGAATGAGGGTGTCTTGTCTATGAAGCTAGTTCTTGTTAAACTATTTGTTACGTGTAGTTCTTTGTAGCTTAAGGTTTACGTTTGGGTTTTGAACGCTTATCGGATATTAATATATTATATATATTTTTTATTTATATATATATTTTTTGGTGTTAATTTTGGTTTTATTTTTTGGGTGAAGTTTTCTTAATCAACTGCTTTGGTACATCATTTTTTGTTTTTTTTTTTAATGTTTTTAACAGTATTTTGTTAAGATTTGCGCTAAATTTGTATCGTAACTGAAAAGGAGGAACATAAATTTGATATGAAATTTTCGTAAGTAATAGATTGGTTAGGACACCTGTTAGGTAATTTGTGAAATTTAAGTTTATTTATCGCGGTGCTTTTATTTTTTCATTTTGTTTGCTTTCAAAGGAACATCAAGTGTTTTGGAGCTTTTATTGATTTTCATTTATGTAAGAGTAGTCTCTTCATTGTGCTAAGGAATTTTTCTTGTTCGTCTTTTCGTAAACCAATCAATAGTTAGTTTTCCTGCTTATGTAAACTTTGCCTTTCACACATTTGGCATTAGCCAAAATTAGCCTTTTTTTCTATTACCAAACTGCTTTTGTTCTTGGCCGCGATTCGGCGCAGCCACAAGGATACTTGAGGAAAATTGTATTCCTAAACATCCAGATTTTCAGCCATCTTTGCAGCCAAACGTATTTACTGTTTATCCAGGAATTTGTTGAATATTTTTTTAGGATATTTTTATAACTTTATTTGCAAGAAGGATATGAGCTCACTGGCGTAAAACAAATTGTAGTCACCTCTGCCGATTTTAGCCATACGCTCTGCCAACTGTTATGTAATCTCAAGTGTGGAAAAAAGCATCGGCAAGCGAAACCAAGCGGCCACGGACATGCGCAGGGATCCCGAAAAGGGAGCCAAAGAGCGTTGAAGAGAGCGCAACTGGAATCTTTTCTTGGAAGGTTATTTTTTCCCTTCTTGCTGGGGTGGGGGGGGGTTTGGGGGCTTGGGGGAGTAGTGTTGGAGGTGGGGGGCTGGACCCCTACGAAAGTTGACAGCTGGGCGCCAGCTTAATGACAGTTTTGTAAGGCATGAGGGGGGAGGGGGTGGAGGTCCCCGGAGGGCGGTAGGGCGGTATTGTATGGTATGTACCCGCTGGGCTCAGCACAAATCCGATACCAGAAACCGCCGGGAATTGGCTTGCAGTTTTGCAACCCTGTTCAGCTGACGCCCAAAAGGCAGCAACACAAAGTTTTCGCAAGGACAATGGGGCAAAACCGACAGGTCATATATATTTAGCTCCGGGCCACACATCCTGATGATGTTGCTTATCACTGGACTTCCCCTCCATAATATTTTTTTTCCTGGAAAATCCCGTCGCACAAATTCGCTTGGCTTGACTTACATTTCTTTTTTTCTGCTCTGCCGACGTCGCTGTCTTTTCGCGGCACTCATTGCGCAACGCGCCCGACTCGACTCGGCTTCTATTTCTGTTTCTACGGCTTTGCTGCCTTTGGCTGGCTTGTGGGTGGCGGTGGGTGGTGGGTTGGTGCTCTGGTAGGTGGAAAGCCTAGCCTAGTAAAGGGCAAAGCGCACAAAAGTAGGCAACGCCATGTCCACCCCCACCCTCCACACACACAAAGGCAGATAGCTGTGGTTGGGAATACACAAATAGGCATTTCATTCCTTTTGTGGAGCTTAGTGCCATTTTCCCAAGTTATTTGGATCTTTGTTTTAATTCTTGAAAATCGATAAGACCAGCAATACGTCCTTGACCCAAAGCTACCTTAATTAAATACCATAAACTAGTTTCTAAATATTCACGCTTATAAATATTATATACACTTTCACTACTAAAATTCCATTTTTTATATTTTTTTTCACTCGAACTCACTCACACCCACTTTATTGTACTCATTTCTTTTTAATTCGCTTTTGTTTTCGGGTCCTTTTCTTTTAGATCCATTTTTATCGTTGCAGGCAGCTAAGAAAAAATCGAATTTCAGTATGTATATATGTTTTACAAGGATATTTTGCGCTGCTGCTGTCGCAGTGTCCTCATTGCCGACGTCGACGTAATCAATGAAAAATTGTTTCCTTGGCACAACGAATTTTCTGTTCTCTGTTTATTTATAGCAATATAATTATTATGCACTCGATTCGATTTAAAACTTTGTTTAACAATCACTGTCGGCCGCACACATCGATTAACTGATTTGTTTAACTTTTATGCTTGTGGATATATATGTATTTTTATGTAACCAGCGATTCGTGGCGCATACAGACGTAAGACTGATTTTGCAATGGCACACATACAGAATGGGTTTTCTTTCGCCTTCGAACGCTCCCCCTCTACGCAGACTTGTACATAATAGCTCCAGATATAAGGATATATGTGCAGATGCATATACATATAGGTATGTATGTGTATCTATATATTGCCGTTAATCCGCCAGCGAAAGCGAGTAGCAACCGTCCACAGTTAAAACGCCAATGATAGTGCCACATTTGCCGCAGCTTGCAGCTGGGCTATCGGCCATCGGCAAATGGATTCGGATTTGGTTTGCACTTCGGCTCGTCTTCGGCTCCGGAAAACTTCGTCGTTCTCGAGCGGTATGTGCCGTTAATTGCGTGAGGGGGCGGTGGGCGGTTGGTGATGGGCGGTGGAAGAACGCCACCCCTTCTAAGCTTTTTCTCCGAGCTTTTTGCTCAGCTGAGTGCTATGCGAGTTGTCCGCTGGAATAGCCTATAGCTTTGATAGCTTCATGGCTCCACAGCTCGGTGGGTGGACTCCGTTCCACAATGCCGAGTGGGTGGTGGTGGGGGTGGTGCATGCAAACCACCAAGCTTTCAGCTACTTTTGCTGGTAGGTTAGTTCCATCCAATGCCTGCCAAACTGTGCGAGCGCCCCACTTTGCTAGCTGCAGGTTATCAGCCTAGTCCTTAATACGGTACGGTGCTCACAAATGTTGCAAGGCATTACCAAGCACAGTTTATGATTGTCGTTGGGTGCAGAACTTAATACAATTTTAGGAGGAATAACCTAAGAGATACTGCAAAATCTGTGTCGGTCAGAAAACTATTATCACACTCTACACCACAGCCGAATTCTGGGTTTGGGGACAAAAAAGCATTATCGTGCTCAACACCAAACCAAATTCCTAGTTTGGGACCTTAAATTCCAAAAATAAATACACAAACATAAAATTTGGGACACTCGATAGGCGTTATATACTTGAAGACTATCAAACCACGCTGGAACTTGTATAAACCAAAGTAATCAACATGGCGGATGAGTAATATTGTTAGTTATTTGTTTGTTCTTACCGGATTTGTGCTTGGAAATAAAAGGTCTTAAAACTAAGTTAAAATCACGGGTTATAAGTGCCACAGAGTTTCGCGAATAAGAGATGCTCTCAAGATCTCGAAGTTTGTACTGACTAATCGACTCGGCTATTGATGATTTTCAAAGCAAGCCTAATCGAACTTGTTGTGTTCGTAAGTCTGTTTTGGTTCGATGATAACCCCAAAAACCATTTCTACACAAATCTATTGAGCTGGATTGTATGTTGAGTCTGTTATTAAACCAACAAAACAAGTCTCTTTTATATTTCTTATCAGTCAATTGCCATTTTGAGGGCAATAAAAGATCAGGCAGCAAACTTTATCAGTTGTTTATGAAAAAAAACCTAACTAGATGGGAGAATCTCGAGAGCGCATAATCAAAAATCCAGACGAGAAGCCTCTCAATTAATGAAGTAATATTGGAAAGACTTAGGAAATAAGGTAGAAGACATAAAAGCTGCGTATAAATCCCAGAAAATATTTAAAGCCACTACTTAGATAAATACCTACTGCAAATGCGATTGTTTAAGTCACCAGCAAACACCAAATAAAACATCAAAAACAAGATAGAACGCGACTATCTTGTTAACCGATTATATTTATATCTTTTAAACAATTTGTATAAAGTGCTTGGAACTAGAACCTTCTAGCTAGGTAAGTCAGTTTGCTGATATCAAATTTTGAAGTACAAGAAAGCAAATTTAGGTATATCATTTTAAATGGTTTTATTGCACATATTATTAAGCCCAGTTGTTTAGCTCTTACAAAGTACACTACACTCATGCATTTGGGGCAGCTTCAGATTTTGCTAACAATGACTCTCAAATTTTCTGAGGCGACAACTCGTATTACTAGGGTCTAATAAATGGCAGAGATACCCCCTTCCCCGCAGATAGCCCATGCGCTGTCTTAACTTTTACGCGAGTCTAACGACACGAATGTAGTTCAATCAGCGCAGAAGCTCATCAATAGTCCCAAAGGCAATGGTTTTGCGAAGCCCAAGGCGGCAAGCCTACAATTCCAGCGGCAAGTTTTTAAATGCGGCGAATCCGCTTTAGTCTTGCGCAGTGATTTTAAGAGAAAGTCGGGGAGAAATTCTCTCGTTCTGTTCTGGTAATATAATACTTATTGATTATTCTCTCTCTGACGTGGAGTTTGGGTTGAAGTTCTTTTTCAAACCGAAGCCGGTCGTTTTGCCAAATTATATAAAAACCAAACACGGCCAAAAATTACTTTGTGCCCCTGACAGGTTTGAGTGTTTAACTCCAGTTGGGAGACGAGTTGATCAATATGGTGGGGGTTTGGGATTGATGGGGATTTATGGGTTGGCAGTATTCTCCTATAATATTTTTTCAGCCTTCAATTAAAATTACGTCATTCCTCAGCTGGCAAAGAAGTTGCGCGCAAATAGTTATACAACTGCATTCTCGTTTTGTTTAGCCAAATAACAAACTTTTTATTGCATTCTATTTTAATATATAATTTCATTTACATTTTCAACTGACTAGGGGTGTTTTCTATGGTAAAATCTGACAATGATGACGTCTTAAAGCCATGAGCCTTAATGAAACTTAATGCTTCATTAAAATGCGAGGCTTTCTTGTGCAACCAAATAATTTACTATTAAAGCAATACTAAGTTTTTTAAGATTGTTTTTTTTTGGAGAAGGGAGTATGTGTCAACTATTCCTATAGCGTTCTCTTCTGACCGGCTTAAAGTTTCAGTTTTTGGCGCCTTTTTATAGAAGATACTAGTGTAATCAATCTTTTGTTAATTTAAAACAAATCTACACAGATATAGTTTTTGGTTCATTGTATTTTTACAATATTAACAGTTCCATAATTTTGAAACAAATTCTGCTTATATTAAAATACAATATAGAAAGATTTGGTAACAAAAGAACTTGATAAAGACAAGTAGCAAAAAGGAATAGAAAAGAACTACATGGTAAAAAATGTTCAATCTGAATCAAATAAATTGGGAAATAAAAACATGTCTAGCTAAGCAAGGCTTTTCAAAAAGTTTACAAGGATAAACGTTTTCATTTAATACCCAACAATCATAATTACAATATTGTTACCACATAAACCTCAAATGACCACTTCCAGCACAAAAAAAATCGGACAATCTGAGAAAGAAGGGAGATCAAGTTGACCCACTTTAGTTGCACATCGAGCAGCTTTGAAGAGGCACTATAATTGTCCGTGGGGATTGGGGTTGTTGGTGTCGGTGGGATGTGGATTGTGGGTGGTGGGTGGTTGGGGGTGGGTTGTTGTCCCAAGTTGGGGGTGCAAGTAGTTGTTGTTGTTTCAGTGCTGTTCACTTGTCTGTCTGCTTGCGAATTTTCGAACAAATGCCAAAGTTTAAGTGCTTGACAAGTATAAGTTTATCAGGGGTTCAAAATTGTTAGGCAAATGCGAAAGCAGGAAACTCTACTAATAATATTTAAGTTGAAAAGTCGCTATACCAATATGACTATCTCAGAAGTGTCAAATTTTCAAAGTTTTCTTAAAGGCAATGCAATTAAAAATATAGTAAAACATATATGATTATGTTAAATTCGAATGAAGCTGCTGATGTTGTTCCAAACTTCCTAAAGTGTCCTTGCCCCATCGATTGCCCGCCCAAATAAAAAGCATAAAGTTTACGGACAATTCAGGTTTATTTATTAGATATATTAAAGCTTATCACAAACATATAACTATGAGCTAGGCAAAACATAAAGTCTTTTCATTCTTGGGCTTGGCCCTTCTCCGATTCAGTTTCAGTATCTCCTCCCACTTCGCTTCTCCCATTTCAGTACTCCACAGTGACGCACTTGGTCTTCAAGTACTCATTGAGCGCCTCCTGACCCAGGTCCTTGCCATAGCCGCTCTGCTTGAATCCCCCGAAGGGAGCGGCCACATCCGTCTTGTTGTACACGTTGATGAACACAGTGCCGGCCTCAATGCGATCCGCAAAGCTGAGGGCCTTGCCAATGTCCTTGGTGAAGACGCCACTGGCCAGGCCGTACTCCGTTCGATTGGCCCGCTGCATCAGGGAGTCCACGTCGCTGCCATTGAACTTGGAGATGATCATGATGGGCCCGAAGGACTCCTCCTGCGCAATGTACATGTCATCCGTAACGTTCGTGAATACCGTGGGTGTGAAGAAGTAGCCCTTGAGATTCGGCACCCGGCCTCCTCCGTAGACCAGTGTGGCGCCCTCGGCCACGCCCCTTTGGCAGAAGTCCAGCAGCTTGTCGAAGTGCGCCTTGTGGTTCTGGGGTCCATGGGCAGTCGATCGGTTGAGCGGATCGCCAATGGTCATCGTGCGCAGATCCTTGAGCACTCGTCGCACGAACTCGTCATGGATCCGATCCTCAACGAACAGACGGCCTGCAGCGATGCAGTTCTCTCCCTTGTTGAAGAACACCGAAGACATGCCCTGTATCGAAAAGGAAAATAATTAGTATACGAATAATAAGTAGTTGTAAAGGATTAAAAGATATATTAACAACAATGTATTATACTTGATACAATAAAAGACATTTTAAAATACAAATTTCAACTATCGGTTATTGTTAATCCCTGGGAAATTGGGTTTCTACATTTTTTAGGGAAATCACAAAAATATACTAGAAATTCGGTAAGAAAAGAAAAGTACAACGAAAAGTGTACAAAATTAAAGAAATCGCGAATAAAAATTTATGAGTGAAATATTTATGAATTTATTAAAGGGCTTGTATTAGACAAAATGCTCTTTCATTCCGAAATTAAATTTATGAAAATAAATAAAAGGTTAATACAATTCGCTTATGGTTATTACCACTTTGAAGAATTTTCATTTTGCGATTTTTGGTTTACACATACTATACCTATTCAAAATAAATGATCACTTACATGTTTTACTGCCTTATCCATATCGCAATCGGCGAAGACGATCAGCGGACTCTTGCCGCCCAACTCCAAGGAACACTTCTTGAGATTGGAGTCGGCGCAGGACTTCATGATGTGCTTGCCAATGGGTGTGGAGCCGGTGAAGCCCAGCTTCCGCACCAGGGGATGGTCGGCCACCGCCTGACCCGCATCCGATCCCTTGCCGGGCAGGACATTGATCACGCCCGGGGGAAATCCAGCCAGGACAGTGAGCTCGGCGAACTTAAGGGCGGTCAGGGGGCAGGTCTGGGCGGGCTTGATCAGGCAGGTATTTCCGGCAGCGATGCAGGCGGCCATTTTCCAGGACAGCATCATCAGGGGGTAGTTCCAGGGCGTGATCAGACCGCAGACGCCGATGGGCTCCTTGCGGGTGAAGGTCAGCACGTTGTTGGGCCTCGCCGGATTGACGGGAATGGTGCTGCCCTGGATCTTGTCGCACCAGCCGGCGAAGTACCTCCACGCATCGATGGACATGCCGACGTGGGTTTTAAGTGCCAGCGTGTAGACTGCTCCCGAGTCCACCGACTCAATGGTGGCCAGCTCCTCCTTGTGCTGCTCCATCAGATCGGCCAGGTTGAGCATCAGCTGGCCACGCTGTCTGGCCGAGATCTGCTTCCAAGATCCATAGAAAGCTGAATGCGCAGCCTGGACAGCCCTATCCACATCGCCGGAGGAGGCGCAGGCCACCTGGCAGAGCACCTCCTCGTCGGTGGGATTGACAATGTCCAGAGTGCGTTGTCCTTCGGCGTCCACAAACTCGCCGTTGATGAACAGCTGGGTGGGCACTCGGATCTCCCGTTTGTTGGCCTTCAGGGTGAAGCCCTCGAAGTCCAATTGCTGGCCAGCAGCACCACCGCTTCCCTGGCGGAGAATCCTCACCAGCTGCCCAAAGAACTCCTCGAATACGGGCGCCATGAAGACTTGCTCGTTTTCCAGCGGGACATCGAAGGCTTCCTTGACCTCCTCCACCAGACGCACTACGTCCATGGAACCTGCGCCTGCTGCAAAGAAATCCGTCGAGGCTTCGATCTGATCCTTCAGAATGGCTTGCCAGATCCCGGCCAGCAGCGTTCGCTTGGCCAACTCATCTTCGCTGAAATCGGTAATGGGCTGCTGATCCGCCTGCTTGAACCAGTCGCTGGCACTGATCACCTTGGATCCCCGCTTGATGCGACGAATGTTGACGAAGGCGCCATCGGTGCCCTCGATGAGCAGGCCACCGGCGTGGATCCAGGCCGGCTTGGTCAGACCCTTCAGACGCAGTGGCTGGCCATTAGAGACGGGTCCAGCCGAGTACAAGTGAGCTCCGAACAGACGCACTTGCTCCTCCGTGCCATCCGCCTCAATAACGGTGGCCACGGCTCCAGGCACTGAGTCCAGACCGCGGACAAAGTTCCAGATTCTCTCCGCCGACTGCTGCAGATTGATCACCTGGTTCTCCACCTTGAACATGGCCGGGTCGTAGGTGGCTCCCACCTCCGTTTGGGTTATTTTGGGTGCCGTGCCACTGGCCACCATGTCCACGGCCACGCCCATGGCCTTAACGCCCTCGGGATAGAGGAAGCGCTTGTAGATGGTGTCCAGCGTGTCCGTGGGCTCCAGGTTCGTCTGGCGGGTGAGGAGCAGGGGACCGGTGTCCAGGCCGTCGTCCGCCCAGAAGATACTGAAGCCAGCCACCTCGTCGCCCTCGATGAGGGTCCAGGATATGGCACTGGCTCCGCGGTGACGTGGCAGGATCGAGGGGTGGTAGCAGATGCTGCCCAGTGGCGCCCCGTCAATCACCTCCATGGGAATGAATTGGGAGCAGAATGGCAGCACGTTCAGGGTGGCGCCCACCGACTTGTACTGTTCCAGGACCTCGGGCAGAGCCACGCCCTTACGTCGCCAACTGGAGAATTTGAAGACAGGTATCTTGTATGTGGCGGCAGTGGTGGCCAGGATGTCCTCGCGACTGCCCTTGTCCGGAATGGTGAAGACGCCAACAATCTGGATGTTCGAGCGCTCCAACAACAGCTCCAAAACATCTGCAGCAAAGTTGCTCTGTCCGATAATTGCTATTTTTAGTTTTAGCTGAAGAATAAATAAAAAAGATCTTGTCAGTGAAATTTTTAAAAGCAAAAAAAAAAGTTTAAGAAAAGCGCTTTATAAACTTTTGAACATTTTCGATCCATTGTTTTGGTTAAACAAACCGAAAATTGGGTTATATTTGTTTGGGTTTTTAGCCCAAACTTTGCCAAAATAAGACTCACAGCCAAAAGAATGACTGTTTTGTGAAGCTGAGGACATATACAATCAATTCCATGTGGATTTGGAAAAATTTATTTTTTCATCGATTTTTGCATTTTTTATAAGGGGTAACACTTGATTTTTTTTGAAAATTGGACAAAAATTAAATTTTTTAGCTGAGAATACAAAAAGATTGGAAATTTTAAAACGAATCCAACGAGGTATGATATTCAAAAAGCTGATTATTATTTCCAATGGTTTTGATCATCAAAAACATATACTTAAGCACACATTTTTATAGTTTTTTTGTTGTAACTTTACCAAAATAAGACGTTCAGCCAAAAGAATGACTGTTTTGTGAAGCTGAGAACATATACAATCAAGTCCAGGTGGATTTGGTAAAATTTATTTTTTCATCGATTTTCGCATTTTTTATAAGGGGTAACACTTGATTTTTTTTGAAAATTGGACAAAAATTAAATTTTTTTAGCTGAGAATACAAAAAGATTGGAAATTTTATAACGAATCCAACGAGGTATGACATTCCAAGATCCGATAATTATATTCAATAGTTTTGATCTAAAAACCGAAAAATTAAGCTGTTTTTTTCGGATTTTAGTCATTAAAAACATTTATTTAAGCACACATTATTAAAGTTTTTTTGTTGTAACTTTGCCAAAATAAGACTCACAGCCAAAAGAATGACTGTTTTGTGAAGCTGAGGACCTATACAATCAATTCCATGTGGACTTGGAAAAAATTAGTTTTTCATCGATTTTCGCATTTTTTATAAGGGGTAACACTTGATTTTTTTTTGAAAATTGGACCAAAATAATTTTTTTTAGCTGAGAATACAAAAAGATTGGAAATTTTATAACGAATCCAACGAGGTATGACATTCCGATATCTGATTATTATTTCCAATAGTTTTGATCTAAAAACCGAAAAATTAAGCTGTTTTTTTCCGGATTTTGGCCATTAAAAACATATATTTAAGCACACATTTTTAAAGTTTTTTTGTTGTAACTTTGCCAAAATAAGACGCACAGCTAAAAGAATGGCTGTTTTGTGAAGCTGAGAACGCATACAATCAAGTCCAGGTGGATTTGGTAAATTTTATTTTTTCATCGATTTTTGCATTTTCTATAAGGGGTAACACTTGATATTTTTTGAAAATTTGACCAAAATAAAATTTTTTAGCTGAGAATGCAAAAAGATTGGAAATTTTATAACGATCTGACCATTATTTCCAAGGGTTTTTATCAAAAAAACAGTTTATAAATTTTTGATTTTATTTTTACCATTTATAATTATTCATTAAAATTGCATGCTACTACACAGCTTTGTGTCCAGGCCAACACGTATTTTTCCATTGATTTATTTTGAATATTGATAAGAGCAGGGTGTAAAAATCGAATTGGTGCTTGTAACTCTCAGAAAAAGTCTTTATATTATATTTTATAAAATTATTCAAAAACGAAATATTGCATTTATATTTAAAAGTGTTAGTAAGAAGGTGTTAATAAAAAAGAAGATACCGAATTTAACATCCGGTTCGCCTTAATTTGCAATGAAATACACTTCATTGAAACGCATACTAACAGCCATGGTTGTTGACACTTATTCAGCACTTTTAAAATCAACACTGCTCGTTGCTTGAAGCTTTTAAAAGATTCACTGACAAAGTTAATGTGTTTTCACAGTTTTTTTTCTTGATTTCCTTTCGCTGGGCCGGCAAACTATCAACTGAAATCGTGTGAACAAACCGGGTCGTATTTATACCTTGGCAGCACACGAGCAGTCCATTATCGTTATCAACTGATTATAAACAAAAACACAAATAGAACAAATCCGTAGCATAGTCGTGCGTTGATGGTGCCTCTGTTGTTGGATCACTTTACATATATATCATAATTAAATTATGGAAACATCAGATTTCTTATCAAGCTAAGTTTAGAAAAAATCGGAGAATAAACCTGGTGTGCATGTCGATTTTTCATGATCAGAGGGCCGGACCATATTTTTTCTACAAATTAAACGTTTCCAGGTGTGGAACAACACATTTCGAAATGTTAAGCTTAGAATTTAAGCCGATAGCCACAGCATGATTGTAATTCACATGAAAATATTGTAGAGGGGGGTTTTCAGGGGGGATTTCCATTACTAGACACGTTTTCCGGTGATCTACTGAAATAATCTAACACCTAGATGACCCACTGATTGCTAGGAGGGGCGACTAAACACTTTGCTCGAAAAACACTTAAATAACTTGTATTTTCAACAGCACGAACGTTACTGCGCAAAGATATAAATTGATATGTAAAATAATCTGATTAATTAGCAAATTGTCTGCTCTAATTCCGAACTATTTGTAGGAAGACTGCAATTCTTTTTAACCAGTTTATTTTGAACCCACTAGCATGCTGTATTCCCTACAATCGTACCTCAAGTACTTTGCTTTGTTGGGCATTGTGCCTTGGTCGGAGAATTGTGCTTACTCGCGGTTTATTCAAAGAGTTTACTCGCTTTTCTTGATTGTTTTTAATGTTACCACCTTCGCGTTTTCAATGTACTTGCCTCCGGGAAAAGAACTGTTCCTCTCTCTAATGGTCAACGTGATTGTTTTTGTGGCTAAAATTGTGTGCTTCACTGTCATCTTGTTGCAAGTTATGATTCAGTATGATGACTACTACAGATTCTGCATGGAAATCAAATGCTTGGGATTGCGATTTCAGTGCGAGCTGAATATGGATATTGGGGGATTAGGCTGGAAGTCGTATGCCAAAATTCTGGGACTTGGTATTGGGCTTTTGGTAACAATTTTGCCGTCCATCTATGTTGCTGTGAGCGGAAGTCTCCTCTATTTCTGGTCCTCATTCTTGTCAGTCCTTACCATTCGGATGCAAAGCGTTTTGATGATGCTCTATGTGGACCTGTTGGGTCACCACGTATGTCTTCTGGGCAAACGACTTCAGGACGTACTCAACTGTCATGTGAAAGGTGGCAACTGCATTCTGGATGGCAATTGCAAACAGCTTTGCTCCCTGGAATTTTTATTGGCCCTCAAGCAGAGCCATATGGAGCTCTATCATCTGTTCACCCACTTCAACGACCTTTTTGGCTGGACCATAGTCAGTATTTATGTGGTTCTGATTGTGGACAGTACGGTCAACATTTACTGGACCCAGCAAGTTCTGGCGGAGGTCTATGAGTACAAGTACCTCTATGCTACATTTTCGGTTTTTATACCCGCACTCATCATGATTTTCGTTTTTTGCCGTTGCGGGGAGTTTTGTAAGAGGCAGGTAACTACAAAAATATAGGTACAAATATTGACTTGGTAGTTAATACTTATATGGAATTTATACTTCAATTATTTATTTAAATACCTACAAAAATAAATTAACTATACTATATAAAAATCATGTATTTAATCTATTTATATTTATATGTAGAACGTGCTTATTGGCAGCTATTTGAGGAACATGGCTTGCCATCCTGACCACGCAAAGGAACCGGCATATAATGAAGTACTCTCAGAGTTCATTATGCAAGTGGAACAAAATTCGTTTGTTATCAATGCCGAGGGCTTCATGGACATCAATAATTCGCTGCTAATGTCGGTCGGTAATGCTAATGAAATTCCTATAAAAATAATATTTTTATTATGTTTACGATTTCAGATATTGGCTGCAAAAGTTACCTATCTGATCGTGCTCATGCAATTTAGTAGTTATTAGTTGTTTTCGTTTTATTTGTATGTCCAAATATCTAGTTAAATGTATGTATGTTTAGTATATTAAGTGCATTTAAGCTTTTATCCATGGGAGCTTCGGCTATATAAAATGGTTTATAACAGCTAAGCATTAGATAAGATTGTGTACAAATAGACCAAATTTGGGAAATCGCTAGAACAACGAATGTTTAAAGCTTCACCCCGCAATCCAATTAAAGTCGGTTTTCGACATGATTAGCCAAAAATTCAACAGTTCATCGGTGCAATGGAAATTTTATGGTTGAACTGATATGATAAGGAAGAAAGTACCTGCCTTCCAACAATATAACATCTGACCAGCGACAGAAAGCTAATTCAATTTTGAGTTCTTATCAGTTTCTTGCAGGGGGTCCGAAATAAGCCAACTGATAAGAATAGATTTCGAAACCTTATGCAATCCAGTTCATGTTAATGTTGCACACATAAATAAACAATACAGTAAATCACATTGAGCACGCATTTAGAAGCTGTTCGGTGTTGAATTTTCGGGGCCTGTCAATAAAAAATATTTCGCTTGGTAATACTGATAGCCACAGGAAAGTGAGCCACAATCAGTGGTAGCCAAGTGATAACCCGAACGATTGCCCTCCGCTAGGAATCGGCAAACAAACAACAAAGCAAACCGGTTTCCATGATGCACCACTTAGCTGCGATCCGGTTCCAAGTGGTTCAAGATGTGCCAATTTTGATAGGCACTCGGGGCAAACGTTATAGCCGAAGTCTAATCGCTTTGCAAGTGTTTTTTACTTTTTATTAATTTCCTTAGATGAACGCCACTTATGCGGCTCGAACTGGATTTCAAATTGAACTTTCAACGCCTTATCATTGTGGGGCAATAAATAAAATAACGTGATTTCTGCTTTTGGAATGCTCATCAATTTACTTACACAAAGTGGGAAACAAATTAAATTAAAAAAAATAATAAATACTCTACATAAATTTCATAGTTGGCCTACTTGAAGGTCACCTGAGCACTGACTTTGACCTCTTTAACCACAACGTCTCCATCATCGTTTAGTATCTCAAGGTTACACTGAATTTGTTCTGTTTTATAAGTTTCCGAGTCCCCAAAAGTTTCAGATTCATTTGGTTCTGTTGCCTCAAAGTAGTCAATCGTAAAGGGCTTAGTTGTGGGAACTTCTTGAGGTTGCTTTTCATTTTCATTGGGCTTTTCAGTTCCCTCAATTGAATTATCTTCAAATTCGGTTGATTTCTCCATAATTGTATCTTGTGCTGAAGTAGTTCCAATGTGATCGCCTTCGCCTTGATTACTTCCTAAATTTTGATCTTGGTTTTCCATGTAAATGTTTTCTTTAACTTTAGAAGGACATGGATTTCCATCGCCAATATTTTGATCAATATTATCATCATCTTTCTTTCCAATCAATGCTGAGTCCCCTGAGGCGCATTTTAACTCTGAAAGAAAGTTTTCATCCTCTTCGTCTTCACATTCATCGCTCTCAGCAAACTCTTGTTTATCTAACATTGCGATCGTTTCAGGATCAAGAAACTCGTGTAATCTATCAGCTATTTTGGCCCATTTGGCCTTAGCGGCTGCAGATTGTTCAGAATTAGGTTTTTTGTCCTTTTGGTTTTCTTGTACATTTTTCTCAGGCAAGGAACCATCATTCGTTGTTGATCTAAGCAATTGTTTTGCCTGAAGGCTGTAAAGGTTTCGACGAGTGGCTTCCTCAAGTTCATTAACCATTTTTAATTCTGCCTCAAAACCTTCAGAGAAGAAGGATTTAAGCACTGCCTCGGGGAGTTTTGGCGGCTCTACCACAACTATCTCTTCGCCAGACTCATAATCGGTTGAAGGATCCGACTGAATATCGTCGTCAATACTGACATTTTTCGGACTTTCTTGATCCTTGACCAATGGATGAACGCTTTCCTTAATCCGAGATGAGTTTTCTTGATCTACTTTAGTTTTACCTTCTTCAACTCCAGTTTCCATGTTCCGATCAGCAATAATTTCCGAGCTTACTATCTCCGCCTCTGAAATTTCGAATAGCTTAGACCCACCCTGGGACAAGTTGATGGGATCCAGCTCCTTGGGAAGTTCCTCCGGTACAAGTTGAAGCTGACGCTCCCGTTCCTCGAACTCTTTCATGCGTTGAACCATTTTCTTCAGCAGGTCATTCTCCTCATCCAATTGAGGATTGCTCTGCTTGGACTTGCTTACTTCGGATTCCTCCTTGGAGAGCATTTCCTGCAACATCTCGTTCTCCTCTCTGGTCAACTGGTGCTCCGTCGAACCGGTCTTCATGCATGCCTTAAGTTCGTTGTAGCTTCGCATGCACTCGATGGCCGATTCTGCATCATCGCTTCCAGTGACTTTCTCAAGATTCAGCTTTTGAAAGAACTCGGAGTCAAGGTTCCCGAAGGTTGTCATAGCTTCCAGTGAATAGAATTCGTCCTCGACCGGATCGTTCTCCTTACCCTCGTCTGGGAAACCTTGAGATGCGGACTCCACGCGACATTGCTGCATGGCCTCGGTGACTAGATGTTCCTCAGATCTCCGAGGTTTCGGCTTGTAGGGAGTTGTCCACGGACGTCGAATATCCCCCTTGCCAGGTGTATAGTCCTCCTCGGCTGTGTCGTAGTCCTCGGACTCTGTGTCACTGATCAGGGCTGGTGGAGGTGGCAGTTCTTCCAGCTCCCCAGAGTCCTTCTTGACCACCATCAACCTGTTCTCCACCACCTCTAAAGTGTCCTCATATTTCTCTCGTTGATCAAAACACCGGGTAGCGGAGGCTGCCACGCGCCTCTTGACCCTCTCAGCTTCCTTGGCTATTTGGGCGTCCAGGCTTTCAGCCGTATCCTTATTAAGCTCCGCCAGATTCTTTGACTTCAGCAACTCCTGGGCGGCCCGAATTTTCTCCACACCCGAGGTCGGATTGCGACCCAGCATACATGGCAACTTGGGATCAGCCATGGAAGTGACAAAGTCTGAAAAGACGTCCAGGCATTCGCGAAGGCTTTTACCACGGGCCGGGTCCTCCAATTCGGGGGGCACCAACTTCTCCAGCTTCGGTTCAGTAGAGTAACTGAACTCCTCGTCAGATTCGATTGGTCCAAACTCAAAACTCTTCGGTTTCTGGGCCCGCAATATCTCGTTGAAGGTCAGCTCAAAAATAATATCATCTAGCAGGGAAGTGCATATACCAACAACATCGGTTTCTGGAGTCGTGATGATTTCCTCCTCGTACTCCACCTTTGTCTCAATATCATAAGCTACGTCGGCCTCATCCTCCAAGTCCTGCAGCAACTTACGTAGTGCCTGCTCGTCGGCAGCCAGTTTTTGGTCCATTCGAATGCAAATTTCCTCAGCCTCCTCGGCACTTGTGTTCTTCGTTATGGGTTTGGTAAAGACATCCTCTTCCTTAAGGATTTCGGTCACCTCGGAGAGAGTCAACTGACGCATGCACTCTTCCTGTGACCACCCCTGACTGGGTGCATCACAGCCAGAGCCAAAGATGCGCTTGGGAACATTATCCGTAGCGTCGTCTAATATCTTGGCAAACAATTGGTCCTGCTCGTCGTCTTCGACCGTCTCTTGTAGGATTGTATCTGTATTACTTGTATCTTTCCGTAAAGATTCTCTTTCCTTGGCTTTGGCCTCTTGTCTTAACAGCATTTGCTTACGACGCTCTTCGAATTGCTGCGTAATAATCGGAGACTTGGGATCCTGCTGCGTTGTCAGGACCTCCTCATCCGCTTCAGAGTCGGTTTGTTCAGTCTCGTTATTCAGAGGCCCGACTAAATGCTCAGTGGACTGTCTGAGTTCCGCCAGATCCTCCTCCAATTGGCTACCCATTTCCTCCAAATCATGAGCACACTTATCATTGGCAATGGCACAGTCCTGCTCAAATTCTAGTTGTTCTTTAGTTTTCGGTGTAAAGCATGGATCCTCATCATTTTGATAAAAGTCCCTCGGTGTCTTGTTCTCCTCACAGCAAAGTATGTCTTCTGGGCGGTAATTGGTTGTGCCTGCAGACAAAATCATTTCGAGAGGTTCGTTTAGTTCGTCATAGATTTCGTCACCAAAACTTTTGTACATTTCATCAATCAGTTTTTCTTTAATCTCTTTGCTGGTTGGATCAACGCCTAGTTCGTTATTTTGAGATACAATTGTCAGGGTCTTACAAGTGTGCTCCAGATCTTCAGTGTTATCCAGCTCCGAACTACTGTCGCATTGGACAGTATGTACCTCATTTGGTTTTATTGAAATGTCTTCTTCTGTGTTTTGAGTATCAGTGACCTTAAATAACTTTACTTCTATCTCGGCCGTTTCCTCAGGATTATCTATTTTGGAATCTTCTATTGAATCAGTTTTATCATCGTCTTCTCGATTTTCTTTTCTAATATTTAGTTCTTCTAGTTTGGCCTCTTCAATTGGAACACGAACGAAATTTCCTTTTTCTTTACTATCAACAAGTTCATTTTTATTAGCGTCCTCAGAGCCGTTGGATTTTGTGCTTTCGGGGTTTCCTTCCTTCACCTTTTCCTCGATTTCCTCTACATTGTCCAAGTCAGGTTCATACAGACACTTTGGACGACCCTCAGGCGGCCTTCGGTTGCGATTACTTATATTCTCAGCTATGTCATCGTCCTGAGAGCCTGCACCCCCATTGTCATCCGCCGAACTGGAACTGGTGGTGCTGTGCTCCGAGCTTGGCTGTTCACCCGACACCTCATCCCACAAATCATCGACTCCACCGTTCTCCAGCTCGACCTTCTTGCGGGTCTTTTCGGCAGTTGTGTCGTCCTCGGAATCACTGGATTTCAACAGGGGATCCTGCTGATCAGGTGGACGGTGACGATTGCGCATGCGTATGGTACCTGTGGGGAATAAAGGCTTAGAGAACCGGTTTTGTTTCCTTTGCCAATGGCTTACAATTAACGCTCTCGCGGGTTTTTCTGCGTTCAGCACGGTTCCAACGATTGTTTTCCTTGCGCTCTCCTTCGTAGCCATCTTGCTTCCTATAAAACATAATAAGAATATAATTAACAATTATTCCATTATCAACTCCTTAATGCTCTGTGTTTGAGAAAATATTTTGGTATCGTAATAACCACTAAATAAATTAATAAACCGCTTCAAAAATTTGACTCCTTAAAATTATTGAAATGTAAGATCTAAGATCCACACACCAAATATATGGTGCCAATATTTCATAAATTGTGGCCAAGAATGTAATTCTTGGATTCTTACCAAGCCTCAGCACACGCTCGATCACGGGGAAACACCGGGCGACTATCCAGATAAGTTAATTCTTTCTGATCGGAAAAGAAAATGTTATATCAACAGTTTTTAAAGTCAGATCATAAAAACTTACACAGGCCAGTATCAATGTCTTACGATACTGTGGCAATCGGGACACTACTGGGTTTCCTTGCAACACCAAAACTTTCAAGCTGGGCATCTGCTCAAATACTTTCACAATCAAAATATCGTCTATTCTGTTATTTGATAAATCCAAAACAGACAGTGTTTTGCATTGAACCAAGTCTGATAGGCTCTCACAGTCCTTTAGATAGTTCGATGATATATTTAGGGTATTCAGAACTGGCAAAATATCAGTGCCAATGTTTTGAATTTTGCGAATATGATTTGAGCTTAGATTTAAGGTATCTAGTTCGCGACAGGGTTCCAAATTCTCAATCGTTGTGATCAGATTGTTCTGCAGGAAGAGACACTTTAATTTGGTTAGTTTTTCCAATCCCTGAATTTCAGAAATTGCATTGCACTCCAGCCACAAACACTTCAGCTCCGTATACTCTTCCAAGCACTCGATGGACTGATAGCCTGAAATGAATACTTAATTGTTATTACTTCTATTAAAGGCACTTTGTGGCACTCACCCTGATAGTGCAAATAGAGTACATCATTTAAACGCGGCGTCTGATATAATTTGTCCCTTTTGCACAGGTCCTTTAATCCCTTTTGCGTCATGCGATTGAGTCCGGTTATCTCTTTGCGTGCAGTTCCTTGCGACATTTTCTTTTCTTTCAGATAATCTTTAATCAATATACTAAACAAAAAATATTTTATTTCTTTTTTAATAGAAGTAAAGATTTATTGACACTGCTCCAGAATAGCACACTTCTACTCTATTTTGTTTCCTTTTTGTTATTGAACAAACAAACAGGGAATGGTCTCCCACGTTGTTAATAGCAACGAATATCATTCGAAAAATCCTTATATGTTCCCAATACGCCTATCTTTATTAAATTCATCCCTTATTTTACATATTGAATTAAAATTGTTCATTTATTTAAGGATTCTCAGTGCTGCACAGTTCTTTAAACACAGTTTCAAATACGAATACAAATACATATTACAAATATTACGTAATTATTAATATTCAGCTGTAGACCTGTAGACAAATATGTATAGTATGTATTGCTAATATGTTGCTGTGTGATACGTTTAACATCGATTCAATTAACTTATCTGTGATCGTCTATTTTTAAAGCCTCAAGATTCTGATGCAAGTTTCGCTTTAGAATTATACCATGTAATGTAATTCGATATCAAAATTGTAAATTCGATTTTATAATTTTTCATTTTGAGTATGCTTTGTGTTGACATCTTTTTTAAGGTATAAGTGTATACTAGAGTTTTTTCCATTTTTAGGGACGCAAAAAAACTGTTACATCTCAGGGGAAAAGGTTATAAATTGTGTTTTAGGCGAAAATATCATGTTAGCAAGCACAAAAATACTGCAACATTTAATTTCCGCTTCTTATATTCCAATATGCAAAATTATGGGATGAGGAAAAAAGTTCAAATTTTAAATACCCTTTCCTTAAAGGATTATACATCGCTACAAGGGCACTTTGTTAAAAGATGAATGAAAAAAATTGATAATGTTCCAAATATTTAACTGCAAACGAATTTTTTTTGATAATGTTCCAAATATTTAACTGCAAACGAATTATTTTTTGATATGTTGGCATTTTGGGGACGACTATTTTCTTTTAGAAAAATTCATAATTATAAATTCAGGAGTACAAGAAAGTCTTGGTCTTTACAACATGTTTTGGAAAAAATTTCCCAAAGTAAACAAAAAAAAAAGGACAATATATGGAAAAACCAAAACTCTAACAAGATTTAATATATTCTGGCAAGAAATTTCGTTTGCTTAGACACGCGTACTTTTCAGATAATGTAATTAGAAAACTGAGTATGCCCAGTATATGCCCTAGTTATAGATAAACTAATCAGCCTTCAATGGGCAAGTGAAACAGATGATTTCTTTGTGATTTGTTTTCTGTTTGAGTGCTGGTGATTGTGTTTAATATAGACACGCCAACGTGAAAACTTCGCATGTGTATGACAACTACAAACTACGAAAATCGGTGTTCCCGTTTTAAAGGCGACATACGGGATCCTCGCTGCGCAATCTAAACATGGTCGTAGCTCCTGCGAAACGAACGATAGAGGCAGCAGGCAAACAGTATAGTGAGCATCTGTAAAAACATTTTGGTTTTCAATAAAAATAAGATTAAGAATACTGTATGGACTTACCTGAATACCAGCCACTGCCAAAACCACGGAGGCCAAGATCAAAGTCTTCGAGTCTAGGATTTCCAAGAGTTTCTGCAAGCATCCTTGCTTGTTTGCATGGGTATCAGTGCACACCACGGCCTCGTTCAAATTAATCACAGAGCAGCACGCCGGTGGCAATGTCTTGTTGGGGAAGATGCCGTCCCAGTCGTTGGTCCCATAGGTGCCACAGCAGTCCAGCTCGGTCTGCAGCAGGGTCCAAGCATCCCGGTAGTCGTCCCGCTCCTTGTAGTGCTTCATTGTCGTGTTGAACTGACCCTCCATTAGCTGCTGCAGCCCGGTATGCTTTATATAACCGGCGGCTCCCAGTCCGATCTCGAACAGAAATATCACCACGGCCAGAATGGCGAAGCTCAGTATCATGCAACTGCTCTCCTTTAGAGCCCCGCAACATCCTAAAAAGCAGATGACAGCAACGGCGGCTCCGACAATCATCAGTATAATGGGGGCGGTCCAGATGTGATCGCTAACGAAGTTCGAGTAGTGAGCATAGTTCAGTTGTACCATGCCACCCACCAGGAAGATGAGCAGACCGGTAAGCTGAGTTGTAGAAAAGGGAGGTCAATTAATATATTGTCTAATATTCTTAATGGATTTATAAAAGTTTTTTACTTCTATTACATTATAACCTTACTTAAGGGTCAGTTATCAAGCTACCAAAATCTCTCACAAAAAATATGTATAAAAAGAGTTTGTGGCTCAACATTTTTTTTTAAAGCCATTTGGTTAGCTTGAATACAAAATTAGTACTTATTGTACTTAACATTTTTACTAAAATTTTCCTAGCCCAAAACAGCATAGATTCTTGAAAACTAAATCGTCTTTACAAATTTACGACAAGCTGTAGAAAGTTAAAACTGAATTGAAATTGAAATCATCGCATCCAGATTGATAACTTTCACTCATTTAATTAAGTGTTTAATATATTTTAATTGCTACCTACATCTTTATTTTAATTGATAGGTATAGATTACGAAAATTACGCTGGCAACTTACCGCAAAAAGAAGATTGCAAAAGAATGTCAAGTATTTGACACATGTCAAGCCGCCGGATGCCATTATGCTTCAAAAAGTGTTACCTCTTCTCAAGCTGGGTGCTTTGTTCGAACTGCAAAGGCAAAAGGGGTTGAAGTAAAATAATAATCAGTTGAACAGGACAACGGCGACCGTAAATCAATAAAATGGTTAGCCTCAGACACACACATTTTTGAAAAGTACCAGTACGAGGTGGTTTCCGACGAGTGCTCTGGCCAAGCCAACCACCAAATCAGAGCACACTTAACCGACGCGGACTGTCTCTCAATGCCTCCAGTACGTATACGCCCCGTCAGCCCGTCTGTCTGCGGATTAACTCTACCTTCCTTCCTGCCACCCACTTCGCTGCGTCAAAGAGAATTGGATGCAACGCTCGGAGGCAAGGCCCATTTTCATTCGTTGGGAGAATTTTGCCATTTTCATTTCGTTTGGCTGCATTGTGTTCGTGTGGCCTAGTTCTAGGCGCATTATTATTTGTTATTACATTTTCTTCTAATGGGGTAACTGCAAAGGGAATGCGGGGGTGCCCAACACATTCGTTACAAGGACGGCCTGCATTGTAAGCCACAAATCGATATTGACATGAACGTGAAGTTAAGAATTGGAATAGATCTAGTCTCGATAACATTGACCACTATCTAAACTGCAAGTTCTTCATTTTTTTCTTCAGTAAATCTTTTAAATTTGGACCGTTACATTAAGACCGTTTGGTCTCATGAATTACCCTTTGATAAAGCTTATCTGATTAATCCTTTTCCTCTTATAACCATTTAGTTGCTTGAATTTATATTTTAAGCCAACAATTTAACATATAATAGTTTTGTACAGGCTTCAAAAATTCAACATACTCACTAATAAATCAAAGGCGTAAACCTGCTGCTCAGAAAATTATGTGCTAACCGATCAGATTGAACTCTTCAATTGGAAAAGGTCGCTTTCAATTGGTGGAGTAACACTAGCATTCCCCCTCTGTAGGCATACTAATAATATGTACCCTAGGCAAGGCACCAAGAATAAAGTGCCACGACAAAATCGATCGTTTTGAAATTGTGCCAACGCTGGAAAAGGTGGAAAAAGCCACTGGTCAGTAGGGCGATGTGATTAAGCAAGCTCTATAAAAGAAGTCCAGTGAAAAGTTTCCCATGTGCACCTGTCGCACGGACGCGAATGAGGACTAATCAAATATATTTTCACCCACCCTAATAAAGGACGATAAAAGCGCCTTGTCAATAAACCTTTTGTCAAAGCTGATGGGCAGCAGGGGTATAAAACCCTTGATGGATAATTTTAGATAATAGGTACTTGTAGAAGGGACGGTGTGTGAAAACGTTACCAAATGAAATAAAATAACCTGTATTTTAATTGACTTTTACTTTTACCTTCTGGTAGTTATCAGACAAACACCATCGATTCAAATACCTGGGCTGTGGAAAAAACCACCTTTAAATCCGGGTTTTCCATACAACAAAAGAATATTTTTAATAACTCCACTTTGTAGCTTCGTATTTCTTCTCCAGAAATTTATATTTTTCCCCTTCCTACTTCTTATATTTTTGATCATCCTCAGCTTGTTAAAATAACCAAAAAAGATTAAAAAATAAAAATTTCATACATTTTTGATTCTACGTTGATAATTCCATACATTTTGTATGTTTTTTTTATTAACTTTTCATAACAATTTAAACCAAAAGTAAACCAACTTCTTGGTGCATTTTGCCCACTGTGCCGAACCCGGCTGTTCTCGCTCCCACCTCCATATATAGACTTTTTTTTAAACCTAGCGGTTTGAAAAGGGGGAATACCGCACTTTTCGGAAGGAGTAACAGGATGGGGTCAGTGGGGCTGCACGTCAATTTGTCGCTGGTGTCCGGATGCATGTGTGCATTATGATACACCTGGTTGCGTGCCAGTGGCTAACTCCGGACTCCCACCCATAAACCTTTTACCTACCATTTGTGCTATTTCCGAAATCGAAACGTAAAAGAAGAAAATTTAAATGCGAATTGGAGCACCGTGGGGTTAACAAACTGCAGCGAACTCAAGCGTCAAAGCCCACACCACCACTACAGGCACAAAACAAAACTAAAGCCGCCCAGCACTCACTCCACTTAATATATCTATGTATACAGTCAGGCTCCGAGTTCTAGATCTCAGGTAAGACTCGAATCGAAAAAAGCAAAACAAAGGCCAGCAAAGTGGAGCGGAAGCCGTGAACCTGAAAAGATGAAATAACTGCACATCGCCCCCCTCCCCGAACGCTTTCAGTTTTTATCTCTCCACCTGGAATACACATCCTAAGAAATTGGCACCATTCTAATCATTTTTAATTCACCTTTAAGTTTTCACTTCTTTTTTATGCTTTTGTGTTTATGTATACCTGCTTAAAATCCCGGTACTAATGTTTTGTTTGATTCCGCACTCGCGCTCTTATTGGAATGTGTTGTTGTTCGATGGTAGAGGTGGAGAAGCCTGGATGCTGACATCGATGTCGTCGATGTTTTCAAAACATAGGTATTATCGATGTATGGCTCCCCTTCATCGATGTTTTTCTATCCCATAGTGCTGGACAAATGGTCACACTACACTGTAAAAAATGGGGAAATATACAAATTTAAAATTCATTTGTTTTTTGATTATCTGGGATTATATTTATTTATTTAACTTAACTCTACAAGAATTGCATATTTGCCCTTATTTCAGTTACGCCTTATTCAATCGGAGGTTTACCTCACCAATAACTCACTTTTGTTATTTTAAAAGTTTATGTTTTCCGCACATGTTGTTTATCTTATTCTTTAAAATTTGTGCATGTTGTTTTTATTTTTTAATTATAATTACAATTATATTGTAGACAACAACAAATAATATTTAAATTAAATGTAATTATTCCTATAGGCAATTTGTAGAAAACTTTAATAAAAAGTTAGCTCTGTCTCAAACCAAAAATAGGAACAGTAATGGAAGTTTAGCGGTGACTCAAACCATTTAGCATGGCTATAGGTTTCCGGACGTGAAACGGCGGCATGTGGAACAAAGGTGCTTTTATTATACCCTTGCAGAAGGTATTATAATTTTCATCAAAAGTTTCACACGCAGTGAAGGGCAGATTTTTGACCCCAAGGAATATATATTCTTGATCAGCATCAGCAGCCGACTCGATCTAGCAATGTCCGTCTTTCCGTTTCTACACAAACTAGTCCCTCTGTCTTAAAGCTTTTTCAAAAAACGTTTTTTTAATCAGGCAAAATAAAATGCAGAAATAAGGATCGATGATAATGTGCTTATAACGTTAATCATTAATCACATATCAATAGCAAATACAGTTCTGTAAGAATTTACAATATTTTTGTATATTCCCAATATAAAAGGGAAACACGTATTTAACGTTTGTATGTACTCTTTACTTTATTCAATAATCTTTGCTTTGCACCTAAGAATGTATACAGTTAGTCAATAGATAGCATAATTTTTACATTGAATTCATAAATATGTATTAATATACCTTCCTTTAATTGTACCCAACAAATGCTCATCAAAATAGTCCCTTCTTAATTTTATTTACAGTACGAGTAATATGTTTTAATTAGTATTTTGTTACATTAATATTTGCTCATTTGGGGTTTATTTTTATAACATTAAATATATTGTAATAGACTGTTTCTTTTGGAAAACATTTACATTACACACCTAAGGAGTTGCTAAACATCTATATTGCAATTTCCATTAATTACGATTATCTTTGGGTTTAATTTGCGCAACAGATTTTGACTAGAGTAACTCGTGACTTTACCGATTTTATTCCGTTCGATGTAAAAAACCATCGGAATACGAATATTGCTCTATGGACCCCACCCAGCACTACTTTCGATGTCTTTTCCTAATTGCAGATTCCCCACCATTTCCCTCTAGAGTTTTCACCTAGCGTTGTAAACACCTACATATGTACATATTTAAGACGAAATCTTCTAAAAGGTGGCTGCAATTTTTAAACAAAATCAAGTTAAATACACCATGAATTTATGGATATAATATTTTAATTCACTCGATTTTAATTTTTATGATAAAAAACACAGTGGCAAATTATAAATTTAAAACAGATAAAATACTGATAAAATCATTAAAATAACTAGTCTGGATTATAATATTTGTATAAAAATCTATGTGAAACTATATCAAAAATGCGTTGTGGTTTTGTTCTGAACCAAAAAAAATATCCCTTTAAAATTAGTTGGCCTGTGTTTATGTTCGTGTTCAAGCTAAATAATCAAACATAATCAACAAGCTTAACTCGACACCCGAGAGGAAAGAGCCACCCCAACTACTATTTTTCACTTAATTATTGCTAAGACCCCAGAATTCCCATTCACCCCTGACTAACACACTCACACACACAACTACGCACTCTGACTCTATCCCCCGAGTTCGACACCCACTGAGCACCGTTATTTTATTACTGTTTACCGTCCGAGCGTTAGTATCCTTGATATCGGTGTCCTTTTTCCGCCCACCGTGTTTTCGGTATGGCGCGCCATAACGGAAGTGTGCCAATTTCAGTGAGCCATTCAACGTTTCGGTGTGTTAATTGTTTTGTGTGTTAATTCTTCACCATCACCCTTACCCTCCCCCTTGTATCCCCTCCCATTTCCCTATACAAACATACATATATCCTTGGTAAGTTTCAAGTGCATTAAAAAGATCATGGGTGGTAAATTAACTTATCGGGGGCGACACTTTGTAGACCGTCATTCCTTAGAGTCAGACGCCAGGACTGCTAGTTAACGGTAATTGATTCCTTGTTGTTGTTGCTATTGCTGACAATTATACATATATATATATAGGGTGTATGTGAGTGGGCACAATGAATGTGGAACCTCTCTGAAAAACAAAATTAAGTTGTGGGCAACCATTTTTCTTATAATCGACTTACTAACGTATTTAACCTAAAATATTTTAAATTTAATTTTTATGTCCTCAAAAGGTTATTATTTTTAAAAAATTTAAAATATAAATAATAACTGAAAAATTGGCTTCGGAATTAAACTCCTTAAACTCTTTAAAATGTGTAATAAAAAAATTTCAAATGAGAAACAAAATGGTAAAGATATAAAGCAAGACATTAAAGATCTTGTATACCTTTAGCTTACATAAAACGTTTCTTCTCTCTGTTATAATATAATTATGTTTATATAAATGAAATGTATATATTACAATGCATTTGACTTGGATGTTAGAACGGAGAATAGTAGTGTATATATATGTGTTTTGACTAATTTACTTACTTAATTAAATCTTATTTGTGTTCGGTAACCCTAAGTTTGCCAACATCTTTTTTTCCATATTTGTTGTAGTGTTTTATCTCCTAATTAAAGTATACGTATATTTGCTGATATTTCAAGATTAGTTACAGATTTGTTAAAACGTTATTTTGTCAACCAAACTATTTCAAAATTTTCGATTAACGACACACAAAAATTAAAAAGTATTCTTTCGATTTAAATTATTTTCAAGTAGTTATTAAGGGCATTATTATTTAAAATGAAAATGTTAAGTGGGAGTAGTCCCTGGTTCTATTATTTACAAAGCTTTATTGCAAAAATGTTTATCATTTAAAAAATGTTAATAACTCATAAATATCGTTCTCGCGAAAATCATCTAAAGGTAATATAAATTTGAGCTTTCTATTGTTTTTATACAAGTGTGACTATCGTTGGGATCACGCAAAACCCATTTAAAGAAACTCCCGAAACGGCTCGTCGAAGTTATCGTTGATATCGGCAAAACTGGTGGCATTGTTGACCACTCCCACCCCCACTCCCACGCCCACTCCCACCCCAATTCCAACGCCCACGCCCACTGAGGTACTGCCATTGAGTATGAGCGTGGGCGGCTGTTGCTGTTGCTGCTGCTGCTGTTGTGACTGCATCATGGTGGCTCCCATGTGGCCCCCATGGCCATGGATCGCCTGCTGCTGGTGGTGGGGCAGGTGACTGGACTGCTGCTGCTGCTGTTGCTGCTGCTGCTGCTCCAGCGGCGTCTGCATGTGCATCGCCTGGGGCTGCTGGAGGCTCTGCATCGCGGGACTGGCGGTCACGGCGGCGGCGTTCAGGAGACTGCCATCGGTGGCCGCCAGGAGGGCACAGTCGAAGGCACTTCCGTTGGCCAGGGCATCCTCGAAGCAGAGCGTCGTGGCACTAGTAGTTCCCGTTCCTCCGCCTTCAGCCGTGAGATTCGAGAGCAGCACTCCGCCCACGGCTCCCGAGTTGAGCTCCAGGGCAGCCGCCTCCTCGTTCCGCTTGGAGAGTATTATGTGCGTCAGATTGATGATGTAGTTCTTGGCCAGCGTCAGTGTTTCGATCTTCGACAGCCGCCGCTCCATCTCCACGTGCGGGATGACCTCGCGCAGCGACTGAAAGGCATCGTTGAGGCTGTGCATCCGCATTCGCTCCCTTTCGTTGGACTCCAGTCGCCGCATATTCCGCTCCTTGGCATTCAGAGCGCCCTTCCTCCGTCGATTTGCATTGGCGTTGGCATTGGAGGAGCTGGAGTTGGCACTGTTGGGGGTGAGGGTCGAGGGGCAGGCACCGGAGCTTGTCTGCTGGCCCCGCCCGCGACCCAGGCTGCCCCCTGACCCAGCACCCCCGATCCCCCTGATCCCTGGCCAGTGTTGGTGGCACTGCCTCCTCCATTGCTGCTGCCGCCCCCACCGCTCGTGTCGTCGCTCTGCGAACTGGAGTCCGTCATCTCCAGGTCGTAGGTGTTATTGCTTAACTGGAGGCGCAGGAGAAAAGAGTGCAGGATTTATAGGACATCTGTGCCTAACAGTTGGTTACGATTGCGACCTACCTGTGAGGTGCGTCTGGTGGCACGTCGCACTGGCCGCGAACTACCCTCCGCCGATTCCGAAGATAGTCCATTGTGTCCGTCTGTGTTGTAGTTGTTGTTGTTGTGATGCAACTGATGTTGCAACTGCATGAAATCATGACTGCTCATCAGTTCCGTTAGCTGCGAGGCATCCATGTTGACTCAAACTTCCCAAATAGACCGGAACACGAGAAGTCTTTACTATAAAAATAGTTTATTGGTTAGGTTTAGTAATAAAAGTCCTCAAAAAAACGGGCTTGACCGAGTATATATATATTGCATCATAGTTTTATAGAAGTAAGTAAATTTTGTCACAGGTGTTTGTCCTATGTTTGTAAAATCTCTTAGATTATCTAATAGAATAAAATATTAATATTAAGAAAATGAGACATCTCAAATTATAACTTCACTAGTTTTCTTCCTTGTTAAAGCTATGTAAACATGCGACAATTTTTATCTAATGATCTGCAACTGAATTTTCCCAGCGAGTATTTCATTGTGGCACTGAAATATTGCATTCTTTATTGTTATGGTGTTATCGCAAAGCTAGATAATTTTTGAATGAATAATATTAGATATTTGTCACCAAATCTAATTAATGTGTTAAATAGACACCTACTACAGTTCAACGCATATAACAAATTTTGATCAAAGATAAAGGCCATGGAAGAATCAAAGATAAAGCCATTCAAGAATAACAAAAACTAATTAATTCGTTTGCATACCAATTGGATATGAAAGTGTGAAATCTAGTGCGTATACTTATTTGACCAGTTCCCTTTTCGGCTATACGATATGTTTTCCTATAGTAGCCATATGATTTTTGGTCGTCCGATTTTATAAAACTATAAACGTTTTACTTAAATCATATTTGAAGGCATTATGTCTATTTATTTTAATATATATGGCGATTTGTCCTAATCCTTTTTTTGATTCTTAGCTGTTAGAAATATTCAACTAATCCTGTCCTTTTCAACTTAAAGTCTTCATCGCTCCGTTCATATATGACCATGTTTGAGATTTATGGGATCTAAATATTTAAACTAGTGAATTGAGATTGGTTTTGTAGACTATTGTGGGTCTGGTTGTGAGTGTCACGTTTTTAAAGCACATATGGATTCCGGCCTTTTTAAAATGTATTAATTCGTCCTTCTCCTTTCTGCACACTATTCAAGAATTTAATACACCCTTCTACTCAACGAGTGATGGGTATTAAGAAAGAACTGAGAGCAAAACATTTACCGATGAAACGCTTTTGCGGCGTTGTCGTTGTTATGGTTATGCCCTTCGGCTCACCAGCATTTGACCCGGAACCGTGTTGCAGCATTTAAAGTGTGGCACCGACCAAAGGAAAGGACACGCGGAATACATCGACTTTGTTGTAATAGAAAACGCGCACTTTGCAGTGCATTTCTTTCGCGGTCGGCGCTGAGTGAAACAAAAGTGTCGCTATTATTTAACGACAACAGCTCCTTGGACCCTAGACTCTTTGGAGCCTTTTAAAGAAATGTTAAGAGAAATGACAGAGCTCAACACAGCGGGGGTCTGCATCCAGAGGCCGGCATTTAAGATTAAATTTCATGGTTTGTTTAAACTTTGATTTTAACAAAACTAGTCAATAGATTTTCACTCAATAGTTCATTCTGAAAGATTTCATAACACAGAACAGCGATTTGTTGCAGGACTGTGGTCTACAAATTGTGATGATTATTTAAACTTTAAGTAAGACTTCAAATAAGTTAAATTAATGTAGCAATATCCTTCTTAAAATAAATATGTTTAAAATTCCTGTTTAAAACCCGAAATAAGGATAGAACATTTTTTTATTAAAATGCTTATCAAATGGATTTCCGAAACTCACCAAACTCTATTTACTTTTTTTAAAGGGTTATAAAGGACTATTAAAACTGAACTTAACTTAATGGTACTCAAAGATTTTTCAAGAAAAGAATATAGGTGTCCAAATAAGTCGCTTATTTTTCCCCCGAAGCCTTTTAATGCTGATCCTAGCAACAAGTTGGATTCCTTAGTCCTTTCTCCAGGTGGGTAAACTGAAATTTCAACTCCTTTGTCTGGCGATGGACGGGGGTTTGAGGATCTTAGCTATGTACCCAGCATTCAGCACCTGGTCTTGTGTAATATTTATTACGCTTTCTACTAAATAAAGCATACTATTGTGAGCTTTTGTTTGCCTTTTCTGTGTCGACGCAAGGTTGAAATAACGCTGCACTGCATTTGACAAGTGTATTGGGGATTTTGTTCAGGCATTAAATGAACTTAAGTAATGTCAATTGAGAAGTTCGGATTTGTAATTGTATATTTCGTTCGATATAAATTTCTATGATTCAATAAGACTTGAGTCACATTGTATTTGTAATTCTCAGAAAATCAATTTCAATTTAAGCTCCTGCAAATACTTTTAATATATAATATAATGTCTGATTCTCAGTTCTTAATTTAGATGTAATGGGCATATCTTAGATATAAATATTTAATTACGTCCTCACATTATTATATATTTCTTTTTTTAATATATTTAAAATTTCGCTCAATTTCGGAATGTTCTGAAATAACACACTACTTTTGCAACAACTTACGTAATTTCAGGATTTTTTACAACACTCAAAAACACTTTTCTCACACTTTTTGGGTTATATTGGGTATTATTTAAATTTATTCCCACTTGGTTTATAACCCTTAATCTTTGTCTCAATAAACACAATAACTTTTGGTCATTCTTGGCTTTTCTAAACAATTTTGGAACATTTCCGCACCGCTGGAAATTATTATTTTATATTCGCGAAGTGAACCAAGTAACGAAACGGAGCGCACTACGAGTACCGGAAACGCGGAAGCGCTGAGGATGACGGCCACTTGTGGAATGGCTGCAGGAACGAAGCGGCGCCATCGGGCTGCCCGAGTCCGGGCCAAAGACGAATCACAGGCCTGCCCGATGGGCCACGAGTCGTGCAACAAGTCCACCCAGCGGAGGGGGCTGGAGCTTCCACCCGCACGAACGCCCGAGTCGAAATAGACTGGCGAATGGAGAGCATCTGAAAGGGCTCAGAAAACGAGTCGTTTTCCGAGTGAGTTTATCCCATTTTATTTTTGTCTTTTCTAAGCAATCGAGCGTGGGCTTGTTGGGGTGGCACCCCTCAAATTAAATGCCCAGGTTAAAATGGGTCGACCAATTCAATACTTCAATAGTTAAAATTTTGTACAGCTCAAGTTCTATGGTTCCGATACTCATAAAAAAGTCTCACAAGAGAATTTTTTTGTAATAATTTCATATCTTAATTCTTTTTTATGATTACTTTGGTTTCCTTTAAGCTTATTCTATTATGAGGAGCTCATTTTTTCCAAACACATATTTTTCTATGTGTTGCCAAAAGTATAAGCGTTATAAAAAAATGTCATCAAAATATTAAATCGTAATTTTTAAAAATTGAAACACACAAGTTCAATAGCGCATCTATAAAACATCATAATCAGCAAATGATAATTGGTCAATATCGTTTGGAAGACAAAGATAGAATTAGATGGCCATATGCATATTTATAAGTTTCTAGTATTTTTTTTTTGTAAAGAAATTAGATAGTCTAGAATATAGATACAAAAAACTGTCTTTGAGGATATTCAAACACTCTGTCTCAATTTAATTAATCATCAAACCAATATACTCCATGTTGGAAGGGAAGCCAGAAGGGCTCCAAATCGTAGTCCTTATCACATTACATGTTATCCCAGTCTAGCACACACATAGTTGCAGTTCCAACCCCACGATCCGCATTCGCCCAACGGGGTGGCTTGTGCTCCGGAGTTCCTAGACATGCACACCACGTGCTGCGGGCCAACTCCAGACGGGGGGTAGTGAACCAGGGGCGGAGTGGGTGAATTGGGTGAAATGTGTGTGATGGGGGAAGGGGGAGAAGTGGGCGAATGGGGGGGTGGGTCCCTGATTAGTCCCTGTGACGCATGTTGCCCTCAACGGCCTGCATTCGACTGCGGCCTGTCCTGTCGCCAGCTCCTTTGTCACCAACTCCGATTCACCGAGTGAGTTGTATACTGTTATTATTATTATCGTCTGTTTGTCCACGCTCTTGTTGCTGTCGGTTATCACAGTGCTTATGGCCTTATCGGGTGGGCTTTATCTCATGATAAACTATTGTCGACAGATAATAAAATGTTGCTAGGAAAGCTATTTTGCCTATCCGAATGTTGCCAGTTTCCCCCTTTCTTCCAAATGTTTGTGTATGTGGCTTTTTATATGAGTAACTATATCTTTTGTTTGATTTGGATCAAAGGGTTTTTAATAATTGCTGCAGTGTTCACGAGAAGTCAAGCAAAAACTATAATGTGAAATGCACTGAAAGCAAAAGGAACATCGAATGTTTTATATTTGGTATATAAGAATGAAAATACAACTTTTTTATTGCGTTTCAATTTATCATACAAATTATTACTTCATTGGGGAAACCCCTTATTTTACAGAATTAAATAATATCGTGATACTTTATGAAATAAAATTACATGCAACGATCAAACTAAGTTATTTTATTTTGGACAGAAAAGTTGATTGATTTATAATTGCAGTTCAAAAAAAAACTGTGTTGGTAAAAGTTTTTTTTACTAAAAAATCCTACACGAAAAGAAACTAAGTTAACTTCTTCCAATTTTAGCTCGGCCCACAAATTCCTCTTCAGCCAAGTGATGCCAAATACAAATTGACAGTTAATATTTTTAAACTGGCAACTCGATGAGGATGGGTAAAAAAAGAATATAGCAAGCGCAGGCAGCTTGTTGTCGACAAGGACATTATGTAAATCATCGATGGTAGCGAAAGCACTTGGCCTCCCACCTCTTTTTAGTCAAGACAGGAAAATAATAAACAGGAAGAAAAAAAACAGAAGCTAGAACTGGGAAAAGGAGGGCAAGTGCCGGTCGACTGCTCTGGGTGCAAAATTGTTTAGCCGAAAGCAGCTTACAATCCTTCGGAAAGGGTCCTTTTGATTATTTTCATCCAGCAAAGTTTTTACCGTCTGTGGCTGGATTGAAGGTTGTGTGTTGCCCACCAACAGTTGGTTGTCCATTTCCCCTTGACTTATTAAACCGATCATTGCTCTCGACATTTCGTCTGGTACAAAACCCAAGTAAACAAATGTTAGAGCTCATTACTATTTAACTTTTAAAGTTAGGACATATCACAGGGGTCAAGCGAGGTGAATAAAAGTTTTATACTTGCATACAAATTGTTAATTATTTTGCTATTTATAAAAAATACTCCCTTTTGAAAATAGATAAAATACTTTGGTTTTAAAAATCAGTGTTTGGTTTTTAAAAGCAGGTTGCTAAATTTGAGTTATGCTTAGACTTTAAGCATAAACACTTAAAACGATAACAGTTTGACTTGTTTTTCTGAATTCGTTTTTATTGCCTGGAAAATGGCGATACTTTGTTTGAGCTTTGCTTAAACTCAATAACAAATTCTGTAACATTCATAAACCACTAGAAATTTATCATTTTGTGTTTTACAGTATCCTACTCCTCGCTAATAAAATTACATTTACATAAATTTTTAAAATAGCAGATGTGTTTACAAATGTAATACTCGAATTTCTGTTCCTCCCTCGCCCTCCATCTAACCATTTATCCATCAATCCTGGCAACCGCAAACCTGATTCAATCCAGTCCGCGGGCCCAGCAGTCACTGCCTTTAATGCAATCAAATGGGAAGTTTCCAGCTCACGACTACGAGTGGCACATTAAGGCACCATGATCGAATTTAACACGTTTGAGACACAAATTTAATCATGAGAGGCCTTTCCCCATTCTACAGCCATCAGGCATCTAAGTCGGTTCTTAGCCGGGGCAGGGAAATCGCACCCGCGGTTATTTAAAAATTCTAAAGACAAGAGAAAATATTATAAGGCAATAATAAATAGAAAGGGAGCAAAGCTGTGAACGAGGGAAAAAAGTTAAGTAGGCGTACCTCGGTCCGCATCCGTCGTCTGCCCTCTGGGGCCAAAGCCAAGCCATCATCCCGTGCGACTTGTCAAATGTCAATAGCAAAAAAGTCCTGCTCCTCCGCCTCCGCCTCCTTCTCATTCTCCTCCTCCTGCTCCTCCTCCTCGTCATCGTCCTCGACAGCTGCTCAACATTCCGGACCGCTTTCTCCGCTGATCACCGCAAGAAGCCTTGTTGACAGCCCCCAACCAATTCGCGCCAGGACCAGGACCTCCTCCTTTTTTTCAGATGGGTTGGTTGGTCAGTCAGTTGGCGTATTTACATTTATTATGGCAAACGCTTCTAGTGCCGAGATTGGCGTGTGTACATATATTTCTCACATAATCGGCCCTTGTAATATTTACTTTGTCGAAGGTGGGGTGGTGGGCTCAAGGGAAAGGAAATATTAGGGCTAAATAATAGAGTCAAAATATTTGAGGGGAGGAAAGGAGAATATTTTTTTCGATTCTTTTTAAGTGCTTTTCAATTGAGTGCGTTTCTGTATGACAATAAATATCGGGCGTAGTTTTTAAAAAAAAAAAGGTTACCATTATAATAGTTAGTATTTACATATCCTATCAATAACCAGGTTTATTATTTTTTTCTTAATGTATAACAGCAAAATTTAGTAATGCCTACCATTGAATTTTGCCAATCACCGAATACGATAATTTTTAATATTAAATTTATTTTTTTTTCGTTTTCGTCTCTATAACAGAAGGGCTCCATTAAGAATGACTTATTTATTTGCACATCAAAATATGTTTTTTGCCATCAGACATCTTTAAGCCAAAGGACCGACTTTCAGAAAAACTGATATTTATTTAACCACTTCATGGTTAATAACTCTCGGCACCCACTTGAAAAGGGAAAACATAGTAAGTATAAATAATTATTATTTACACAGTGGCCGACGGGAAACGAGAGAATTTATAGCACACATTTTGATTTAACGAGCCAGAGCGATATGCAACTTGTATGAAAGGCAGCTTTTAGTACTCGGTGCTCCTTTGCCATATTTACTAAACCCCCTCTTCCCAGGAATTGCGGCTCGCTTCAGTGGCTCAAGAGCTGCTAATTGGTGTCATTAAAAAGTTGGAGGCGAGTCTTTAAAATATGTCGCACAAGTAAATATTACGCATACGTCATGCGGATGATGGCGAGGAAGGCAGCAGGCTGGATGCCACGCCCAGATCTGCTTTACAATGTTAATGTAATCAAAGTTTAACTTATGCCTGATTTGTGATTATAAAAATAACAAACTTTACTAACAAAAAAGAATAAACTCATCGCAGGTGAGCCTTGGGAAAAAAAGTTACATCTAAAAGGTTGCTATGAAAAATTAGCATTTAAATTACGCGAAAAAGTTCAATGAAGCGCTATTAATTGGAATGTCCTGGTCGGAATGGCAAGTGGGGCGAAAAGTTGGAGAGAGGTATGGATACAAACGCCATGCAATGACGTCTAAAACCTGCTTTTGATGGCTCGCCATTTACACCTAGGAAAGTGACACTACGAATAATTGTTATTGATGGCGCATTACGAGTCTCGAGGATTTGCTGGCGATAAAAATGGTCTGTTTAATGAATGTTATGGAACCATGGAATGTCATTTGCATTGATGACCGGCCTCTAGCGCAGATTATGAGTTTCCAAGTATAATTAATTTGTGTACCAATTTAATGGTAAGTCTTTAAGACATCTAATCACTACAAATTATATTCCATATTTAAAATTAAAATTTGTTAATACGAACGTCCAACACTTTAACAAGTCTTATATCTCTTAAAACTATAATTTAAAAAATATTAATAACAGTCACCACATTCATTTTTTTAGAAATAGTAAATCCTTTAAA